CAGTGTCAAAGGCAGCACTTAGATCTAACAAGATTAAGATTGAGACTTTGCCTGCATCAGTGTTCAGCCGGATATCGTTTGTAACCTTAACGAGAGCAGTCTCAGTGCTGTGGTGGGGTCTAAAGCCGGACTGAAACATATCAAATGAGTTGTTGATTATAAGAAATCTAGTAAGCTGTAGGTAGACAACTTTCTCAAGGACTTTCCCCATAAATGGCAGATTTGAGATGGGACGATAGTTGTTAAGTACCGTAGCATCGAGACTGCTCTTTTTTAGCAGGGGCCTGATGACTGCAGTTTTCAGGGCCTTTGGGAATATTCCAGAATGAAGGGACATGTTTACTATCTGTGTGAGTGAAGGTAACAGACTGCTCAGAACAGACTTCAGAAATCTAGTGGGTAGTACATCCAGGCTGCATGTGGAGGAGCTCAAACTGGAGATTATCTCTTGGACAGTTTTATCATTTACAGGTGCAAAGTGAGTTAGCTCAGATAGCCTTTCTGGCTGTTGGATGGTTATCTGTGGATTGGAGACAATGGCGTTTTTGATGCCTTGAACCTTGTCATTGAAAAAATTAGCAAACTCATTGCATTTACGTTTGGAAGTAAGCTCTAATGGCATTTGAACATGGGGGTTTGTTAATCTATTAACTGTTGAGAACAGAACACGCAGATTGTTGCTGCAGCCTTCAATCATTTCAGAAAAATACCTTTCTCTCGTACTACGTAGCACCCGGTTAAACTCGCACAACTTATCTTTGAAGATCTCGTAATCAACCTGGAGGATGGACTTGCGCCACTTCCGCTCGGCCCTCCGGCACTTTCTCTTTTGTGCCCTGACCGAGTCTGCTTTAGCCCACGGCGCCTTCTGCTTATTTTTCACTATTTTAACCTTCACAGGGGCAACGGTATCCAGAACATTCAAAACACTAGAGGTGACAGAGTTAAACAGTTCATCTACAGTAGAATACGATGCATTCTCAAAGTTTATCATTCCCATAAATAGTTCACTCGTATTTTCATTTATGCGCCTTCTTCGAACAGTTGCAGAGTCCACTGGTGGTTTGTTAGTGAAACACATGTCCAAAAAAACACAGAAATAATCCGAAAGAGCAACATCGACCACGTTTACATTTGAAATATTCACCCCCTTTGTAACTAACAGATCTAGAGTGTGCCCTCTGCTGTGGGTGGGGCCACTTACATGCTGAGTGAGATCAAAGGATTCAAGTACAGAACTCAGCTCATTTGCATTTCTGTCATCAACATTATCCACATGAATATTAAAATCACCTGTAATAACCAAACTATCAAAATCTGTGCATACAACTGAAAGCAACTTGGTAAAATTATCAATAAAACTGTGACATGACTGCGGTGGCTTGTATAGGACAATGAAGAGTATTGGAGGAGATTGTTTTTGTTGTATTTTAAAAGACACATATTCAAATGACGAAAACTTCCCAAGAGACATTCTGTGGGAGACAAAGTGGTCTCTAAAAATGGCAGCTAAGCCTCCTCCTTTTTTGTTTTCCCGTATTTCAGATTCAAACTTGAAATTTGGTGGTGATGCTTCTATTAAAACTGCATTTCCTGAATTTTGGTCAAGCCAAGTTTCAGCCATGAACATAAGATCAAGATTATGAGAACAAATACAATTATTGATTAAAAAAGACTTGTTACAAAGAGATCTGACATTAAGCGTAGCAAGTATCAAAGTTTCAGTATCAGCGGTTGTGGTCGGCTGATTCTTATACGGAGCAAGAATTAGATTTTCCAGATTAGACTGATTAACTCCAGATGTTTTTCTGTAATGTATTCTTTGTGTTATCACTAAGGGAATGGCACAGGTGGCTTCATGACAGGGCCCCAGCCGGGTCTCTCCTCTAACTAGACTGCCAGAGGCTGCGAAGCAGAGACCCTGTGCATCCTAGTGTTTAGAGAAAAGAGGGGAAGGGGAAGGCAGGGGAGGAGGATGGAGAGGTGGGTGGCTTTTGGGTGTTGAACGAGGGGGGCAGGGAGGTGGATGGGTTTTAGGTGATGGGTTAGGGCCGGGGTGGGCTGAGGCAGAGGTTTTGGATGTTGAACGAGGGACTGGCTGAGGTGGTTTTTGTAGGTGAATTGGAAACCCTAGGTGGTTTTGGAGGTACATATGGGGAGTGGTTTAGCATGTTGGACAGGACTCTAGATCTAGCTAATATGGGTGTGAGAGGAATAGTCTTCATGGCCGATTTTATTAGCCCTGCATAGTGTTCAGGTAGGTCTAACAGTGAAGGCGGGGATGAAAAACAAAGGGAGGTGTCCCCATTCTCTCTTGATGGAGTGGACGTGGCAGGGGGGACCCAAGACAGGTCCATGGGAGGTGGCGAGGGAGTCTTTGATGGAGGGGCAGGTGGTTGAGGAAACCCCAGCACAGGCCTGTCTGCTGTAGGCTGGGGTGAGGATGGGGGCTTCAGAGGCGCTGTAGATGAGAACACCGCAGCTATTCTCAAGGTGGTGCCACAGATGTCCCACTTTAACACCTCACCCGGTTCATTTGTCTGTTAAATAAAGACTTCTCTCCCCTCTGTTTATTTGCAAATACATTTTGTTTTTATGCATTGATGGTGGTTCTGCACAAGCTGAGGAAATGAGACCATAACATTTTATTGGATGTAAGTGTTAATCCTATGAACTGCTGCAGTGTGTAAATGTGTGTAAATGTGTGTGCATAGAGCTGTTAGTGGCTGTGACTGATTAGTGAGTGGCTGTAGTATTTATCTTCTCACATACAAGTGTTTTTCAAGGCTTTACAGGCAGCGAACAAGCAACCTATTTAGCATACATGCTGAAATGTTAATCATTAGGGCCAAACAGAGCCGTTCTAAGGCATTTCTGGGCAAGCGAAGTCTCATTCACAAAGGACCCCCAATGTTGCTGGCTAATTCATTTATATAGACTAGGTCCAAGGTCCGACAGTACTCAGTTTTAGGCATGGTTAGAGACAGGGCCGATGGTACGATACACGTTAAGTTTGAGCCACGTCAACTGGCTCCTCTCGTAGTCCATAAGAAATCAATATTCTAAAAAAAAAAAGAATTTTTAGCTAACCCCAAGTCAGAGATGATAGAACTCTCTCTCTCTCTCTCTCTCTCTATATATATATATATATATATCTCTATATCTCTATATCTCTATATATATTAGTATTGTACAAATAGTAGTTGTATCTGTCTATTCTATTTTAATTTTTATGCGTTAGAAGTGTATGCTGATTTTTATTATGCCTTACTCCCTTCTTTACCTCTCTTCTTTGACTGTTGCACCGAGCCAACGCAATTTTCTAGTCTGTGACTTCCTGTTACTTGCCTGGCAAAAAAAAAAAAGCTTCTCATTGGTTTATTTATGAATAAGGTAAACTCTGCATTAGAACAGCTCTCTCCTTTTGATCAACCATGTTATCTGAGCTGGGAAATGCATTGTATGAGAATGTGCACTAACAAGGCTTGGCCCCTGAGTGTGTAGTGTGTCTATTTTGTGTTGTGCCTTTAGTACATTGTGTGTCTATTGTGTGTAGTGTGTGTAGTGTGTAGGCCTGGCCCTATAGTATGGACATCTGGATACAACCAATTAAAGTTTTTTTGATGGGGAAAAGTGGCTATTGACCCCTTGCATGTGACGTCCCGGCCACGCCCACTCTCCATGACAGACGGCAGAAGTCTAACTGTAGCTTCTCCAAATACCACTCTTTGTGAGCCCTGACCTGATGTCCTTCTTCCACCTATAACGTAATCGAACATGTGCTTGAAGCAGCCACTTCTCGATTTAGGAGAGGAAGCTCCGTTTTTAAGAGTTGTGTCCGTTTTGCTCTCGCAGCAATGCTAGTTTCCAATACTTCCGCCGTAAGCTCATTCACAATCACACGACTGGATGACGTTGATGCATCTGGTCAATAGGAGCAGATGGGAGGAATCTGGAAAACTGGGGTGATATAAATAATTAAAATCGTCAAATACACAAACAATGCAAAACACTTTCTAAAGAGAGGGAGTAAAGACAAACAACAGTTTCTTCAATCTAATTTAAAGGAGACATAACATGGAACATATACTTGTTCATCTTCTGCATGTTTCAACATTGTTCCCTTAACCTATCTGCTTTCTGAACACTGTGAGCCGCTTTGGGTGACCTTGGTCTATAAAATGCGCTATATAAATAAACGTACTTACTCACTTACTTACTTACGTACTTGTCCTTCCTCTAGTGGAGAATTACCTTGGTGTCTTGTTCACGAGTGAGGGTAAGATGATGCGTGAGATTGACAGACAGATTGGAGCAGCGTGTGCAGTGATGCGGTCGCTGTATAGGACTGTTGTGATGAAGAGGGAGCAGCGTCTGTAGGCAAAGCTCTTGATTTATCACTGACAGAAAGGACGAGATCGCAGATACAAACGGTCAAAAAGAGGTTCCTCCGCAAAGTGGCTGGGCACTCCTTCAGAGATAGGTTTGAGGTGGCCTAGGCATCTGTTTGGCACGCCTCCCTGGGGCATGTCCCACCAGGAGGAGACCAGGAGAAGACCCAGGACACGCCGGAGGGACTGTGTATCTCAGCTGGCCTCAGGATTCCCCCAGATGAGCTGGAGGAAGTGTGTGTGGAGAAGGAAGTCTGGGCATATGTCCTCAGACTGCTGCCTCCACCACCCAGCAATGGATGGGTGAAGCGGAAGAAGATGGATTGATGACTTTATTAGAAGAGTGCCTGTGATATACAGTCCTTTTAAGTAAAACAAACATAAAAACATGCATTTTCTCCTCAGCATAATGGATAATAACATGAACCTCCACAATACCTCCTGACTTTCTGCATTGACGCCGACCTCACAGTACAACATCACCAACTTGTGAACTCAAATTCAGCAGTAATCTAACTTCCTGCCTCCCCGACCGCGGACACTCGTTTGCCGCCATCAGATCCGCTGTGTTTTTAATGAACTTGAGATGAAATAATAAGCAGTTGGAGCTCACGTCTTTGGGCCCAGCCTGACAGTTCCTTCCTCAGCCGGTGATAAGGCGCCTTCAGACGGAGTATCTTGATCAGGATGCCTCCCTCTCTGTGGCGCTGCTGGGGCAGAGGGAGGGGGAGAGTGTTTAAGGCGGGGGGGACAAGTGTATAAAAGTCATTTGCTGATTCGGGCTTGTTGTGTCTCTTGTTTGACTGTGACATCATCGAGGCGGGTTGTATTTCCTTTGTCAAAATGTTGCACTTGGCAACCCACACAAAAGACAAGCAAGCAGTAATAAAAACGCCCTAAAGGGACAGTAGTCTACCTTAACAGTGTTTTTCAACCAGTGTGCCATGGTACGCTTGTGTGCCTTGAGAGGATGTTTGGTGTACCTTTTGGAAAAAATCACCTATCTGGTCAAAATACTGTGAAAAGTAGGAGAAAGAGAAGATTCATTTTGTTTGCCCGTGTTTGTATATACTGTATATACACTTTGATGATAATGACTTTCTTTGTTAATAAAGACTGCCATGTTTCATTTTTGTATATCGTTCAAATGTTGGTGTGTCGTGTGATTATTTTTAATGAGAAATGTGTGCCACGGTTCAAAAAGGTTGGGAAACACTGCCTTAACATAAGTACAAATGTAATTCTGTGCAGCCCTTTGGTAACTGTTTATTAAAGTAACAATGTGTAAGATTTTCATGTCAATTCATCATTAAAGGGCCCTAATCTGTCAAAAGCATTTAATAAACCATGCTCTTTTGAATACTTATTTAGCTGGTAATAGTAGTTCAGATAGTAGTTCTGATAATAGCAGTTCAGTCGAGATAATCAAATTTCAAAATTAGTTTTCCAGCCCCTAAATCTTGCTATTATTTTCATTTCGATGTCCCGCCCTCCATCGTTTTACCAATCACCTTGATCCGGGTTACCTGGACTCACCATATCTAGCTAATCTCACTGGTAAAGTACCATGTGGCCACAGAACTAAAAAAAAAAGTCTTGTTATGATTCTCAAATCATCAATGACAAAACAAGGAATAAAACAAGGATTTCTATCTTTGTGAAAAAGGTGTTGGTTATAGATTTGCTGTTGACAAAACTCAATCTCTACATGCTGCCGTTAGGTCAGTTAATACGCAGAAACGAAGTGTCCTATCATAACTATGCAGACGACACTCAGATCTATGTCTCACTGACTGCAGGAGAACATGGACCAGTGGACTCACTCCTTCACTGTATCCAACAGATCAGTGAGTAGATGCAAAACAACTTCCTTCAGCTAAACGCAGACAAAACTGAAATGATTGTCTTTGGTCCCCAGAAACAAAGAGAGAGCGTCATCTGTCACCTCCAGTCTCTCTCCCTAAAACCTTCAAACAAGGTCAGAAATCTAGGGGTAATACTGGACTCAGACTTAAATTTTAATAGCCACATCAAATCAGTAACATCAGCAGCTTTTTACCATCTAAAAAACATTGCCAGGATCAAAAACATAGTGTCTAAAGCAGACTTGGAGATTCTTCCATGCATTTGTCTCCAGTAGGTTAGACTACTGCAATGGCCTGCTCACAGGTCTGTCCAAACAGGCTGTAAAACAGCTGCAGTACATTCAAAATGCAGCAGCTCGAGTCCTGACTAGAACCAGGAAGTACGACCACATTAGTCCAGTTCTCAGGTCTCTGCACTGGCTTCCTGTGGCTCAGAGAATAGACTTTAAAACAGCTCTGCTTGTGTACAAGTCTCTCCATGGCCTCGCACCAAAATATATTAGTGACATGTTAGTCCCATATGAACCAGCCCGGACTCTGAGGAGCACAGGGACTGGACTCCTGTTAGTGCCCAGAGTCAGAACTAAACATGGGGAGGCTGCTTTTCAGATTCATGCTGCTAAAATCTGGAACAATCTTCCTGAAGATGTGAGACAGGCCTCCTCTCTGACAATGTTTAAAACCAGGTTAAAGACAGTTCTGTTTAGCTGTGCATACAACTGAGGGATTTTATATTTTCATCTTTCTTTTTAATGTACTGTGATTATTTATGATTATTTTAATGCTATCTTCTTTTGTTCAGCACTTTGAGTTGCCTTGTGTATGAATTGTGCTATATAAATAAATTTGCCTTGCATTGCCTCTTGTCTATTCAGTAATCATTATTATGGTCCCAGCTGGATTCGTCTGCTTATCTGGCAACCTGAGTCAGGGAGAGTGCAGTACCACTTTTGGCCAGATTTTTACATACTGTTCCTTTAAATGTGGATTGTATTGGGCATTCATACCTATCAAGTTTTTAAAGTCTCTACTATTCATTGAGAGACTAGTGTGAAGTTTTTCAGTTTCTTAAGAATAAATGTGAGTTCTTCTCCCGTCTCGTCTTTTCAAATCTGATTTTGTCTCAGTTTGTTCAGACATACTCCTGCATTGACTTAAAAACTGGGCTGGATCTGCACACATCCAGAGGCCTCGGCAGCTCAGAGGAGATATTATGCAAAATCAACCTTCCACAACATTGTTCCGTCATCCAAAACAGACCTGGAGCTGTTTTTGATCCACACATGCCATTAACAGGAACTTCTGCTACAAACATGTTACACTGGTCCTTCTGACTAACAGCCCCTGACTCGCTTTCATGCGAGCTCGGAAACTCTGAAATATCGTCGTAATCTTCCGACTTCCCAGAATAAGAGCGTTCATGGGAAGCTGGTGTCGGTGGTGACACACACATGCACACACACACACACACACACACACACACATACAAACTGCTGTGATTTCTGGCTACACCACCTCTGCTGCTATAGAATTATATATTCATTTGTTTTGTTTGTATGGACGGATCCGTTTCTGCTGCTACTGGACACCTAATGTTTCTCCTACTGGTGTCCAATGTAGTATATAAATGTATTCTATCTATCTATCTATATGAAAAATAAAGGAGCAAATACTGTATGTCGCAATATTATCATTATTCTCTCAAATTGATCTTTGGCTTTATTTTGTTATGTTCTATTTTTTATTTAATCTTTATTTAACCAGGAAAGGCCCGTTGAGATTAAGAACCTGTTTTTTCGAGGGATTCCTGGACCAAAGTTACATACAGCTAGTATATGAAGTAATCATGTGATCAAAAACACATCCCTCTCAGTTTGTCTCTGTTCTTTTACCAATCACAATCTGCCACAAACTCAGGAACTCAGGGTCCATTTATCCAGCCTGAGTTTCCGAGATGAATTTCCGACCATTTTTTCCGAGTGAAACCTCAGAGTTTCCAAGATCGCATGACAGGGCATCAGTCCAGCAATATATGAGGTCATTGTGCCACTATGACATCACACTCAGAGCAGTCTTCAGCCGCTTTCCCATTGTATCTCTGTGTTTGCATAAAAAAGAATGAAATACCCACTCCTCCCTCTGGTGGTAGCATAGGGAGTTACAGACAGAAAGCATTTTTTTCTGCTCATACTTTTTTCACCAAATATTTTCTACTTTATGGTATACAGGAGGATTTTCTACTTCCGGGTGGATCATCAAGACTATTGGTCCTCCCACTTGTCAATCATTGTGGTGACACGTGGTCGTCAAATAAGAGCAGAGAGTTTATGTCAAAAAGTGGAGAGGGCGGTTACTTCCTAAAATTCAAGCCAATATTTCCCATTCTAAAACATGAAACAAAAAGTAAATAGTCTAGTTCTGATTGGCCAATTTTTTTCTTCTTTGCTGTCTTTATAAAATGTCTTTCCTTTATCCCTGAGCTTCATGAATAAAACACAAAAACTCCACGATACTTTCCGACTTTCTGCATCGACGCCGACAGCGATCGCAGTTCAACATCCATCCATCCATCCATTTTCTACCCTTTAATCCATTTCTGGGTCAGGGGGGTGGCAGTCAGAGATGCCACCCAAGTCTCATAGCACCAGCCCCTCACTGACCCTCTGCAGGTGGTGAGTCCACAGGAGGACGGCTGCTCTCTGAGTGTGAGCATAGCCATAGATCTTTCAGTGGGGGCTTTGGGCAAAGTGGGGTTAAGTGTCTTGCCCAAGGACACAACGACAGCAGTCATCAGTGGGAGTCGGTGGAGAAGGTGTAGAGGTGGGAATTGAACCCACGACCTTCTGGCCTAAAGGCCAATGCTCTACCAACTGAGCTACTGTCAAAATCACCAACTTATATTAAATCAGCTTTAATCTCCTTTCAATCCAACCGTGCGCACATGGACGCTCGCATGTGAAGTTACACGGTTTCTTTAGAATTAATGTGAGTTCTTCTTCTTCTCTCAGTGTGTTTCAGACTGCAGTGACTTTAAACCAGAGCTGGCCGTCACACAGGGGCCTCACGGGGCCTCACAGCTCTCCACACACTCTCCAGCTCCCTGTCAAATCCCCAGCTTCTAATTAGCCATTTGTTTTGCATTTTTTGTGTGCGATTCCATTTCCCGCGGTCGGTTTGTCACCAGCTCTGACCACGCTCGCATGAGAAGAGCAGATCCACGCCTTCACACTAGGATTCCCACAATTCTCAAACTACCAGATCTTCCAGAGCAGTCATTTTGACAGCTCCCATTCGAATCAATCACTTTTGATTCCCACTAGTTTTACTTGAAGTAAGTAATTTTACGTCTAATAAGTGCTAAAACTGGTAAACATAACCAGTTTTAGCACTTATTGGACGTAAAATACTTACGAATAATAATTACTTGAAAATTACTCCAATACAACTACAGTAGTTGAAAAGCGACCCAATGCTAACTGCTAACTTAAGCTGCCATAGAATCAAATGAACCAGTCAAAATGACGGCTCTGGGAGTTAAAGGTAGAAGTCCCCAAGTTATGAAGACCAAGAATGTACATGAGCTGAGTAATTATGCATCCAAAACTACAGTGCCTTGTGAAAGTATTCGGCCCCCTTGAACCTTTCAACATTTCGCCCAATTTCAGGCTTCAAACATAAAGATATAAAATTTTAAATTTTTGTCATGAATCAACAACAAGTGGGACACAATCGTGAAGTGGAACGAAATTTATTGGATAATTTAAACTTTTTTAACAAATAAAAAACTGAAAAGTGGGGCGTGCAATATTATTCGGCCCCTTTACTTTCAGTGCAGCAAACTCAGTCCAGAAGTTCAGTGAGGCTCTTTGAATGATCCAATGTTGTCCTAAATGACTGATGATGATAAATAGAATGCACCTGTGTGTAATCAAGTCTCCGTATAAATACACCTGCTCTTTGATAGTCTCAGGGTTCTGTTTAAAGCGCAGAGAGAACCATGAAGACAAAGGAACACACCAGGCAGGTCCGAGATACTGTTGTGGAGAAGTTTAAGCCGGATTTGGATACAAAAAGATTTCCCAAGCTTTAAACATCTCAAGGAGCACTGTGCAAGCAATTATATTGAAATGGAAGGAGTATCAGACCACTGCAAATCTACCAAGACCCGGCCGTCCCTCCAAACTTTCATCTCAAACAAGGAGAAGACTGATCAGAGATGCAGCCAAGAAGCCCATGATCACTCTGGATGAACTGCAGATAACTACAGCTGAGGTGGGAGAGTCTGTCCATAGGACAACAATCAGTCGTGCACTGCACAAATCTGGCCTTTATGGAAGAGTGGCAAGAAGAAAGCCATTTCTCAAAGATATCCATAAAAAGTCTTGTTTAAAGTTGGCCACAAGCCACCTGGGAGACACACCAAACATGTGGAAGAAGGTGCTCTGGTCAGATGAAACCAAAATCAAACTTTTTGGCCACAATGCAAAACGATATGTTTGGCGTAAAAGCAACACAGCTCATCACCCTGAACACACCATCCCCACTGTCAAACATGGTGGTGGCAGCATCATGCTTTGGGCCTGCTTTTCTTCAGCAGGGACAGGGAAGATGGCTAAAATTGATATGAAGATGGATGGAGCCAAATACAGGACCATTCTGGAAGAAAACCTGTTGGAGTCTGCAAAAGACCTGAGACTGGGACGGAGATTTATCTTCCAACAAGACAATGATCCAAAACATAAAGCCAAATCTACAATGGAATGGTTCACAAATAGACGTATCCAGGTGTTAGAATGGCCAAGTCAAAGTCCAGACCTGAATCCAATCGAGAATCTGTGGAAAGAGCTGAAGACTGCTGTTCACAAACGCTCTCCATCCAACCTCACTGAGCTCGAGCTGTTTTGCAAGGAAGAATGGGCAAGAATTCCAGTCTCAAATACAAAGTATTAGCGCAAGGGGGCCGAATAATATTGCACGCCCCACTTTTCCGTTTTTTATTTGTTAACAAAGTTTAAATTATCCAATAAATTTAGTTCCACTTTACGATTGTGTCCCACTTGTTGTTGATTCTTGACAAAAAATGTAATTTTTATATCTTTATGTTTGGAGCCTGAAATGTGGCAAAATGTTGAAAGGTTCAAAGGGGGCGAATACTTTCGCAAGGCACTGTAAAAGCTGCCAGAGTGACTGCTCTGAGAAGTCATGGGAAAAGTGTATTTTTTTATTTTATTTTTTTTGTCAAGATGCAATGTTGGGGCTGTATGTTGTGGTTAGCACCATCACCTCACTGCGAGAAGGTCCTGGGTTTGCTTGTCGTCTTCATCATGTATAATGTGTGTATTCATGTCTGGGTGGTTTCCTCCGTGTCCCTCATTAACTCAAAACAACAATCAAAAATGGGCCGCACGGTGAGTGAGTGGATAGCACTCTCGCTTCTCAGCAAGAAGGTCCTAGGTTCGAATCTTCAAATTGTAGTTTGCATGTTTTCCCCGTGTCTGCTCCGGTTTCCTCCGGGTGCCCCGGTTTCTCCAACCACTAAAAATAGGTCTGGCATGTGCCTCCTGTACTGGCCCCGCTCCCATCTCTGTGTGGAGTGAGCGACAAATGCCTACAGCTGTAAACCACTTTGTGACTCTGGTCTGAGAAAGGGACTAAATAAAAAAAGATTACTTACTTAAAGTAATCCAGTGAAACGACGCCCGCTGCAGCAGCTGCATTGCAGAACGTTTCAAATCAAATATGAAGCTATCGTGTGATTGAAACAATGTTTAGCAGTGTTTCTGTATAATGTGATTTTCCACTTGATGTTTCCAAATGAAGAAAATAAAAGTGTTGTGTAGAAATAAATAAAACAAAAGTTTCCAGAGTTCCATGAAGGATGTCAAAGCAGAGCCTGGATGCTTATATCCCCCCTGATGCTAACGCAAAGTTTGCTATGAAAGAACTATATGCTGCTATCAGTAAACAACAAGCTTCTCATCCGGAGGCAGCTGTCATTGTTGCTGGTGACTTCAACCATTCTAACTTGAAAACAGTGCTCCCAAAATTCCACCAACACGTTTCCTGTCACACAAGGGGAAACAAAACTTTGGATCATGTTTATATGAACATTGCTGGAGCTTACTCTGCAGCCTCACCTTCCACATCTGGGTCAATCAGATCATTTATCACTATTTCTCACCTGCAGGTATTCTCCGCTTATAAATCGTGTGAGACCTTCAACTAAAATCATCAAAGTGTGGCCAGAAGGTGCAGATTCTACACTTCAGGATAGATTCCATCATACTGACTGGAGTGTGTTTGCCTCTCCTGGCACTGGAGGTACCAACACTGATCTGAACACTTATACTGCTGCTGTAATGGACTATATAATCAGTACTGTTCATAATGTTACATCTGAAAAGCAAATCACCACACACCCCAACCAGAAGCTGTGGATGAACAGGGAGGTGCGTCTCCTACTAAAGACACGTGACAGTGCCTTTGCATCAGGCGACGCACAGGCCTATAGTACATCCAGGTCTAACCTGAGGAGGGGCATCATCAACGCTACGCGCTGTAACAGTGCAGAAGTTGAGGAGCACCTCACTAACTCTGACCCTCGGCGTATGTGGAACAGAATACAGGCCATCAGTGACTACAAAGCTAAGAAACGTAGTCCCACTGTTACAGACGCTTCCTTTCTGAACGAGCTTAATGAGTTCTATGCTCGGTTCGAAAGGGACAATGTTGACTCTGCCACTATAATTACTCTCCCCCGTGACCACCACTCACTTACTCTCACTCCATGTTGGGCCGCACCAATGGCCACAAAGCTGCTGGTCCAGACGGCATCCCAGGTCGAGTGCTTAAAGCATCTTCAATCTGTCTCTTGCTCAAGCTACTGTTCCCAAATGCCTAAAAACAACATCAATTGTGCCAGTGCCCAAAAAAATCAAAGTCCAAGTACACTCAATGACTATCGTCCCATAGCGCTAACTCCACTTGCTTTGAGCGGCTTATCCTGGCACAATTGAAGGCCTCTATTCCATCAGGCCTGGACCCTCACCAGTTTGCCTACTGCAACAACAGGAGCACAGAGGACGCCATCTCCCTGGCCCTTCACAAAGTTCTGACACATCTGGATAATAACAACACATATGCCAGGATGCTGTTTGTTGATTTCAGCTCTGCATTTAACACCGTCATTCCATCTAGGCTGATCAACAAACTACACGACCTCAGCATCAATCCAGCTCTGTGTAACTGGATCATGGACTTTCTCACTAACAGACCTCAGCACGTTCGTTTGGACAACCGCAGTTCCACCACGGTCCAAATTAACACCGGAGTCCCACAGGGCTGTGTTTTAAGCCCCTTTCTCTTCTCCATCTTCACTCACGACTGCAAACCAGTGTCCCTCACTAATTCCATCATCAAGTTTGCAGACGACACCACACTGATAGGCCTCATCCACAACAACGATGAAACGGCCTACAGAGAGGAGATCCAGCATCTGTCCACCTGATGTGCTGATAACAACCTGCACCTCAACACCAGCAAAACCAAAGAACTTATAGTGGACTTCAGGAGGAGTAGTGAAGGAGAACACAACCCCATCTACATCAATGGGACGGCGGTGGAGAGGGTTCACAGTTTCAAGTTCCTTGGAACCCACATATCTGAGGATATGTGGGTCAGAAAGGCCCACCAGCGCCTTTTCTTCTTGAGAACTCTCAAGAAGAATCACATGTCCCCGTCCGTAAGGCTGCATTTCTATTGCTCTGCCATAGAAAGCATTTTAACAAACTGCATTATGACCTGGTATGGGAACTGTACAGTGGCGGAGCAGGAATCTCTACAGCGGGTGGTAAAGACAGCCCAGCGCATCATTGGGGCTCCACTCTCTGCCCTCGAGAACATCCAGAGCCAGCGCACTCTGCGGCGGGCTCGTAAGATTGTGAAGGACTCCTCTCACCCTGCACACAGACTCTTTAGCATTTTGCCCTCTGGCCGCCGCTACAGGAGTCTCCGGGTCAGCACCAGTGGCAGTTTTTATCACAGAGCAGTCACACTCCTGAACACTCAACCAATTAAAGCCCACTAAATGCACTTTAATGTAATGTAATATAATTAATGTTTAAAGCAATAGCAGCTTGTACAGTCTGTCATGTATGCAAATATATTTATTTCATTTCATTTCATTTCATTTTCAACCCCTTTGTCCATTTCTGGGTCAGGGGGGTGGCAATGAGAGCTGCCACCCAACGCTCATAGCACCAGTCCCTCGCTGATCTTCTGCAGGGGGTGAGTCCACAGGAAGATGGCTGCTCCGTCAATTGTGAAACAGCCTTGATCTTTCAGCAGGGGGCTTCAGGCAATGTGGGGTTGTCTTGCCCAAGGACACAACGACAGCAATCATCAAATATATTTATCTGTGTTGTAAATATTTCCTATGCTTGTGCTATTGTACTACTGGTTAGACGCTAAACTGCATTTCGTTGCATTGTTCTGACTTGGTAATGACAATAAAGTTGAATCTAATCTAATCTAATCTAATCTGAAGCTCACTGTGACCCACCCACCCCCTCATCCTCTCACCCACTCACCAGGCTGGAGTCGTGTAAGACCTCTCCCCCCACCTTCAGAGTCGCAGAGTTGCCCACTGAGCACAACCCCAGCACAGCACCTGAGAGGCAGTGGGATGGGGAGGGGAGGGGGGTTTCCATGACGACACACTCACGTTTTCTGTGTTGGAGCGTGTCCTTGGGATCCAGAGCGGACACGACGTAGAGGACCCCCCCCCCCCCCCCCCCACAGAGAGCGCTGCGGTCGCATTCATGATTTGTGTTGAAAAGATAGATCAGTGAAGGAAGGTGTCTCGTTTGATAAGCAACAGTTTGTGGCACGCAGGGTGTAAAAGATATTGTATCATGTGATTTCTGTCATCTTTATGGGATATTTATGATTTTGGACTGTGCAAAAGTGCCATCCCAATAAAATGCATACTTGAAGTGGATTATATGTGTGTGTCAGGGTGTGCTGATGTTTTTCTAATGTGTTTTTTAAGATACATTAACATTTACATAGTGATATAGATTTACGGTCAACACCTTTAACTGCACTGTTAAATGTGTATTGTGTGAACTTTGTGTGCTCTCGTAGACATTTTAACACACGTCTTTTTATCTCTGTTTTACTTTCACTTTTTTTCTAACTTGTTTGCACCTTGAGCTAAAGTAAAATGTCTAGTTTTACAATGGCCATAACATAATTCTGATCCTGATATTTAGATGTTTTAATTTCACAATACAATACAATACAATTTATTCTTGTATAGCCCTAAATCACAACAGAAGTCATCTCAGAAGACTTGACAAAACCATTGAAATCACCAACACAGATCAGAGAATCAACAGAAAAAACAAAAAAAGAATATTGAACACATGTTGATAAATGTCCATACATGTTGTAGAATGTTAAAGTGTCCTGGATCATCACCACATCCTTTTTGTTGGACACTAAGTGCCCAACAGACCCTCCTGCATCGGCAAGGAAAAACTCTACCCAGTGGGAGAAAAGTGAGAAACCTCGGGAAGATCCACAAATTGAGAGAGGGATCAACTCCACACGGACGGACGGGCTGTAGATCCAGGACCTAAGTACAGAACGAGGACCAGCGGCCGCAGACCGTGGACAGGTCTGGTGCAGGACTGAAGCGCTCCCAGGCCAGGTCCAGAGGTCCCGTCATTGTACCATGAAACAGACAATAGGACAACGGGTTACTAGCAATGAACAAACTACACTCAACATCTTAATAATGCAGACAGGTGCAGGACTGAAGCGCTAATGTTGTATTTATAGAAAAACAGGGGTTGTGTATTATGTACTGACAAAAGCAGTTAACCCCCAAGAAAAGTCTTTATTTTTGACTGAATCACCTCCATATTATTTCCAAACCAATTGATTTGAAAGTGTCCTGATTCTAGGCAGGTTTTGTGGCCTTGGTGACAAGACACCCATGAAGGTCTATTCATGCATGTACATCATTACACACACACACACAAGCACACACACACACACACACACACACACACACACACACACACACACAAGCACAAACAAGCACAGACACAGACGCACACACACAGGCACAAACACAGACGCGCACACACACAAGCACAAACAAAGATGCGTGCACACACACACACACAAGCACAAACAAGCACAAACACAGGCGCACGTACACAAGCACAAATGCACACATACACACATACAGTACAAGGACAGACTCATAAGCACAACCACATACGCACACACACACACACACATGCACACAAACACGCACAAACGCGCACACACACACACACACTCACACACTCACAGCAGCAGCAGCTCTGACACCTGGCCCGCACTCCCCTACACTGACCAGAACAGGAAGCAGGTACGTGGTCCTCATGTTTAGGACGTGTGGGGGACATTCCCCAGAGGGCCCTGACCTCGCTAATATCCTGTGAGCTCACTTCAGCACCTTGTCAAAGCCCCGCTCACATTCAGGCCACGAGCGCTTCAATCAGGCGGGACAAACCATATCAGATGACTGCGGCCGGGACGCCCAGCAGGCCCGTTGCCGCGGTTACCGGAGACAAACAACACACACTGGGGCTAATGCGGCGCAGACCGGACGATCTGAGAACCTTCAGTCCACGGCTCTGCACGAGCAGCACACAATACTGCTGTGGAAGTGCACTGCAGCCGACAAAGAACATGTCCTTTTGTTCAACATGAAGTCACATCTGAACACTGGGAATAAATTATGTTTGTGTGAAGGAGGGAAGCTGAACTCAATTTTGCGTTCTTATGTATCAAAGTCAGTAGACCCACTTTTAGATGGATAGATAGATACTTTATTGATCCCTGTAGGAGACATTCAGGTGTCTAGCTGCAGAAACACATCCATATAAACACACACACTACTTTTACTTTGGACGAGAGCAGACAAAATGGTCCAAACCAAGCGGCTATTCCCCCTTTGTGACCTGTCCTGCTCCACCCAAAGACCACTCCGTCTTTGCTGCTGTGACCTGAAGGCCTGTGGCTGATCAATACTATTATTAGGTTTTTAGATCTATCCATCTATCCTTCCATCCATCCATCCATCCATCCATCCATCCATCAATCCATCCATCCATCTATCGATCTACACAAACACACAGTACATCAATTATTAACATTTATACAAATTTCTAACTAATTAACTCCTCCTATGTGTTTTTTAAATATTGCATTTCCTGAGTTTTCTAACTGTATAGAGACGACTGTGATGGGATGTAGGGCTGTACACAAATACATTGAATTGAATCTATCCATGCAGCTCCCAACACTCAGTGAGGATGAATGAGAGGCCCCTCTAATACCAGCTGTGACTCCGGTGCTAACTGTGGTTCTGTTTTTAGGCAAGGCACATTTATTTATAAAGCACCATTCATACAGAAGCAACCCAGGGTGCTTAACAGGCATGAAAAGAACATTAGGCAAAAATAAAACATTGAAGGAATGAAAACAATAAAACATGAGAAATATAAAAAATATATACATACATAAGCACATACTGTACATATATAATACATGCTTACACACACACACACACATAAGCAGGCCTCTATCCATTGAGGATCAGACGAGGAGCATAAAAACTAAATATCTTTTTGGTCCTGACATTTGGGACACACAGTAAACCTGTCCCAGATGAAAGGAGGACCCTCTCTCTTTCACACGGAACAAGCAGATCTTGCACATATTTTGGGGCCATTCAGTGCATTTTTCACCAAGAATAGCACTTACAGTCTCTTCTCTAACAGACTGAAAGCCACTGTAAAGATTGTAAAACTGGCGTGATATGAAACACACTCTTTTGTATTTGTGGGGACTCTTGCTGCTGAATTTACACACATTCACTACACTTCATATGAAACTGTATGTGAGTCACACCAATTTAATTTGTAATATTTTAATGTAAGATCGGTGTGTTGAAAGCATGGTTAGAGCAGAGCGGTCTCTATGTGAGAGCTCTACGGCCTCTCTTTAGCGTCATGTGTGCGTCTCCTCATAAATCATCATTTCCAGTGCGCTCAGAGCTGAGAGGAACCAGACGTGCCCTCACCGTCGCACACAAACACATTCACGATGCTAATGCCGTCTTTCACTATCGGGCTGCGCGTTCCTGGTGTTCTGAAGTGATGGAATGCAAAACAATGGAGTAATGCCTTTGTCTTTGAGGAGATTGCCAACCTCTTCGTAGCCCTTGAGACAACAAAGACTCTTTATGATTCAGGCCTGATGGATTCATGGCCTGTGTTGGGTGTAAACAAGTATTTGTTCCAGGAAATGGAAAATACATCAACAGACACGTTTTGATATTGTGCTCAACTGACTTTTTATGGTATTAATATTGGAAGTGCGTGGAGCTCAACGGTTACAGTGACTCTTTAAATGTTTTACAAGATTCACCAGCCTGTATATATGTACTCTGTATCTACACTGCTCTGGTTTCATTTCCATTTCAGTTCAGTATCTGGCACCCCATCTTAGCAACCAACCTATAACAAACCAGCATCCGGGGAAATGCTGAGGTAACCATGGCTATAATCTGGCCAATCACGGTCAGTTAGAACATTTTAGTACCAGTGCGACCTGATCAGAACCAGGGCAAAGTGGGACTGACTGAGAAATACCTGGAGCTGTTTAAACATGGCCGGTGGAAAGGTTCCCAATCGAGTAGACTAGAGCCGAGTTGAGTACAGTAGCATCAAGTAGGGCTGGTGGAAACAGGGCCTAAGTATTCTAAATACATGTTTTGACTTGGTTACGTTGTTCAATGAATGTAACTAACTTAATTCAAATGTCCATAGACTGTAGAAGGAGTGGACTAACCGATAGTGTTGGCCTTATTGCGGATGAAGCTAATTAGAGCTAACTTGAGCAGGCTCCATTGGCAAAATTCCACAAATTGAGTTTAGAGAAAGACAATTCTATCTCACAGAAAAATCCTCCATAAAACTTATATTGAGCCACTCCTCCTCCCCCCTGATTAGAAACGTCCCCTCGCTCAGTGCGCTGTGGGGCTCTATGACAGACATGTCATTTTTAGGTACTTTCGCAGTACGGGCGCCATGGTGGCTGAGTGGCGCCCGTACTCTCGCCTCTCAGCAAGAAGGTCCTGGGTTCAAATCCCGGTCGGAACAGGGTCTTTCGCTGTTACTACGGCGACCACTGCTCCTGACGTAAGCCTTCGCGGCATCAGGAAGGGTCAAATGCAGAGGATTGAATTGACCTACGGGTATTAAAAAGTGCACCTTTACCTTTAGTATCATCCAGCCGACTTCAGCTCCACCATTATAGCCGTTCTGCATCTTTTTTGTGAAGCTCAGAAGCTTTGGAACCCATAACTTTATTTGTGCATAATTATAGAATTTTTTCTTAAAGTGTCCATATTCTGTGTTACTGTAGCAGTGGTGTGAATCATACACATATTTAAAATCCCAGAACAGACAAAACAGTCAAAACAGTTCCATGTCATCTTGTGAACAAAAATGGCCCTCATACTAAAAGGTTTGGACACCTCAGCATGACTGATTATAAACCTTTGAGTGCCTTTTCTCTTTTGGGCATAATGCTTCTCAGAATGGAGTCAGAAAATGCAATTATTTAAAAGCACAACTCTGTTCAAACCTAGACCAAGTGAACTTCATACAATTCAATGAACCACAGAACTCTCAAAAGCACATTGTGCAAAAACCTCTCAATCTTTCCCCGTTCTCAGCGTCACATGGAGGGGATTTGGCCGGAGCGGCGCTAAGCCTGTTTTCACATTACATTTCCTGATCAGCGCTGAAGCATATTCGGAAACGCCAGCGCGCTTATAGCCCCAGACTGTACCACTTCCACTCCAGCGGTCATTAGACAGGTCCAGAGAGAGAGAGAGGCCGGCAACATGAAAGCTGCTCCTATAACTAGACGTAGTAAAGTCGTGCATGCAGGCTGACTGGGGCCGCTTATGGTTATCGGCCGGTAAATGCAAGCCAGTCCACTTGGTCCCGGGTTCTGGAGGCGGGATCAGAAGAATGAATGGGGTGCAGCTGTTTGCGGAGAGAAACGATGGGAGGAAAGGCTGTGGAGAGCCAGGTGGTGTCCAGGGTTTCTGACATGGCACGAGAATGTGGGAGACGTTTATGGAAAGAACGTTTGGTTGTTGTTCGTACATGGTTTGAATAAACTTTTATCCATCTTACAGTTTTTCATTCAAACTTGTATTCAGACTAAATATGGACTACGTGTTTTACAGCTAAACTGTTCGGTATGGGAGAAGCCAGGATTTGTATTTAGTGATTAAAATATCATTGTTTCCAGTTCAGTGCTACGAAGTGAATATTAATATACAACAGTACACTTCATATGAGTAGAATGACAGTTGTATGGGTTCAAGAATGAAGTTAAATTGGAGGGTACATATTAAATATTTGGAAAAAAAAATGTTTACATGATTACATACAAATTTAATGATTAATGTATCATAATAGGGTTGTATTGGTTATGATTGTTCAAGAGCGTCCGTCAGGAGCAGTGGTTACTGTTGTACATCATCCTAGGACCCATCTCCAGATGTTGGTACTCGGCTTGGTCAGGACCGGAGCTGGAGGATTATACCTATTGTACATGTTTTTTGTGGTAGGGGAAAACGGAGCACCCAGAGGAAACCTTTGCAGACACAGGGAGAACTGGAAACTCTCCTCAGAACTCTGAGAAGCAAGAGTGCTGTTCACCGTGCCGCCCTACAGGTCTAAACCAGGACTGAAACGGGTCTAAACCAGAACAGGTCGAACACACCCATTCAGGCTCTTGTTCCACCTCCTCATGACCCACATGTACATCCATAAGACTGGAGCTGCAGCATTAGGGCTTTGTTAGTGTACGGCTTTCAGGTTCTCCAGATTGGCACCTTTTGGGTTGCCAGATTGGGGCTTCGTGACCTCTGGCTCATATTTTGTATTATTCGGATTCTGATATTCTCTAATATTCAAATTCTGATGAGCCCTTAGCTGTGGTAGACCCTTGGACTGCAGACCCCGCACTGGTATTGAGGGCTTGGAACAGACGAAGAATGAACTACTCCACTTTAGGTTGGTGAGAAAATTAAGTCTTTATCTAGAACCACGCCATGTGCCAACTTAGTGTCCAAGACTTGGACCACTGACTCTGGGTCCAGTGGTCACCTGTTTAACCCCCTGTATAATCGTCCAAATTCAGCAGCATTTGTTCATTTAGAGGCAATTCCCGTAATAAATATATGTAAATCTATACTCTCTATATATATGAGACAGATGAGATTGTGGTGTCGTCATGGCGAGATCATCGGCCGCAGCCTCTCGGTGAATCACCTCCATCAGCAGCGGCGTGACCAAACAGCGGTCATCAGGATCATGTGTCGGTGCCGCGCTGTGAGCTCAGAGACGCTAACTCCCCACGTCTGGACACACTGGTGAGAGTGGTTAGCAAACGCCACTTTTAGCGAATAGGTTTCACACTGTTTTATATTTGGATTGCTGACATTAAAAGCGCTGTACTGAACATATTCTATCAATAATCAGAGACCAGTGAAAAACAAATAGCCTCCCAACAGTTTGTTTAATGAGTAGATCCACAACAGCAGTAGTCACTTTTGGATCACAAGAGCAACATTTTATTTTTTTTATTTTTATTTTTTCAAAATACAGGAACAAAATTAAGAGCAATATGTAAGATTTGTCAAGTCATCATTAAATCGCCATAAATCTTGATATTGTGTTAGTTTTGACACAACCCTAACCCGTTTAACCAATCAGAAAGTCCCGGTTGCCGTTTTTCTATTGAGGCCTTTGTGAGAAAGGTGTTGGTTATAGATTTGCTGATGACTCTTGTCTATTATTATGGTCCCATCTGGATTCGTCTGCTTATCTGGCAACCTGAGTCAGGGAGAGTGGGAGAAGTTGTAGTACCGCTTTTGACCAGATTTTTACATACTGCTCCTTTAACTGCGAAAAGTGAAAAAAAGTAAATTTTCAAGTGTTTACATACTGTAGAGTGAAATGTTTCAATATTTTGTGAAATTACTTCTAACTTCGATTGGACATAGAATGCAGAAAACGTAGCTTAACTTCAACATTGCGAAACTTAAACATTGGCCATTGACCCCTATTTCGACATGCCATCTTGGTCAAATTGAATGAAGAGAAAGAGGAAGGGAAAAGAAGGATAAGAAAGGCTGGGGTTTTTTCTAAATTCAGGAGCAGCCATGGCATGTTTCCTTTAAGCCTTTCCAATTGTAAAACTCCTGTCTACTTCTGTCTGCCATCCTGTCCTCTCTGTACTGTTCCCACTGATTCTCTGGTTTCTTTTTCCTGAGACTTTTCAGTCTTTGGTCAGACAAAGCAGATCAGACTGTAGGGGTAGAGAGAGAGAGAGAGAGAGAGAGAGAGAGAGAGAGAGAGAGAGAGAGAGAGAGAGAGAGAGAGAGAGAGAGAGAGAGAGAGAGAGAGAGAGAGAGAGAGAGAGAGAGAGAGAGAGAGAGAGAGAGACAGATAGAGAGAGAGAGAGAGAGAGAGAGAGAGAGAGAGAGAGACAGAGAGAGAGAGAGAGACAGAGACAGTGAGAGAGAGAGAGAATGACTTTAGCAGACGTGCCACCGCCGCTGCTCACATTCCTCCAGGGCCGTGCATCCTGTCCAGGCATCCCCACCTCCAGCGCCCTGCACGTACACAAAAGTAACACACTCACACACACACAACCCTGCACTTACACAAAAGAAACACACACTCTGACACACAGCCCTGCATGTACACAGCCAAGCCCCCCCCTCTCCTCGACTCCAGTGCCCGCTGCTTCCTCTCTGCACACACACACACACACACACACACACACACACACACACACACACACACACACACACACACACACACACACACACACACACACACACACACACACACACACACACACACACACACACACACACACACACACACACACACACGCACACACACACGCACACACAGAAGAAATGCTATTCACTCTCCGGTCACAAGTACAAAGGGCATTCACAGTTCCATCAAACACCTGGGCGATAAGAACGCCTTATTTATTTATAGTTTTTTTCAGAATGTGTTTCTATTTTCATTGAGCCGCCTACATTCATGTTTTGGGACCGCCACAATTATAAAACTACTAGAACTCCCAGAGCAGTCATTTTGAATTCTGAGAAATGTTCCCCAAAAATGTTTTGTTTTCCACCAGATTATTAAAAGCTATAAGATTTTTATCTTTACTCATGTTCAATAAGTGCTGAAACTGGTCAATATAATAGCAAAAACAGTTGACAGGCTAATGCTAAAGACCAAATGCTAATTGCTGGCATTTTGCAAAGTGTTGCTATGGTAACTAGCACTGGCTCTTCAGACCCAGAACCAGTGCAGGTCTGGTCCAAAACCCACTGACAAAAGTACTTTTGAAAGTTGGTTACCAATCAACCAAAAACAGTTACACTTGAATTTTAGTTAAAGATTAAAAATATATATATATCAAACACATTTTTCCGACCCTGGATGAAGGAGAAGAAAATGGACAGATGGATGTTAAGATGATGCCAAAAACCTTCAGATAATAAGGCAGATAAGGTGAGAGAGAATAGTACAAAGGAAAAAGAAGGTGTGTATAAAATGCATGGCTGTACAGTCTGAGGCTGGAGGCAGGCGGACACAGGTGATGAATTAATAAATGAATTGTCAAATAGAGACAAAATGTGATAGTTGTCTCTGGGATAATTTGATTAAAAAAAAGAAAAATGAAAATTATGAAATAAATTAATTGTAACTGCTTCTGAAATCCACCCTCACTTCACAAAAGCACATGAGAGCATTTACAATAAACAATATAATCATCAAAACTGCCTCTTTTAACATCTGTGTTTCAGAATGATGACAATGATGATAGAAAAAAAGGCTGGTAATGAACAAATACATTCTTTTAAATGGCTGAAAGTACTCAAAATGTTTCACACAAATAACAAAAGTTCAGACACATGCACAAGTTTTGGAAAAGTCTTGCAAGAACATGACTCATGACAAAGAATATGTGAAATCAGATTATCTGGAGATAGATCGGCGTTTCCTTAAAGCGGTGATGTTTTGGTACTGTCGCCATGGGCAACACAAACACTTTCTATTTGCTCGAGGTCTGGAGACGCTGCAGGACGTTCAAATGCTGAATGTCACTGATGCACAAGATCAATAGTTTACTGAGTACAGATTAATTGTCCTAAAACCTTTGCAGAAAAGCAGCCCCAAATAAAATTGTACTTCACAGTGGGTATAGTGTTTTTTTTTTGGAATTATAAATTAACCAATTAACCAAGGAAACCACATCATAAGCACATTTAAAACACATTTATTCAATTCCCTTTCTTATTCTTTTGACCTTTCTTCATTCTCTGTTACCGTGTCAACTGCGAAACACACTTTTCTTGGGTTGCATTAAACTGGCCAGTAGGGGGCGAATGAGCAGAGGTGGGACAACTCCGTTTTGCTCCCATTGAACGGTGTGCGGTTGTTGTAACAGTCTTAACTGTCTGGACACTCAATTCTAAGGGGGGTACTTAAAACTATTTCTCAAAAGAGTCTTGATTTCGGGCATTTTTGGAAAATATAACAGAAGAAATTGCTGCGTTTCATTGGGGTGGCCTGCAGGGGGCGCTTATCTGGGAAAGCCTTGATCCACCTCGCCTGCCTCATTCCAGTGATTTTTTCAAAGTGTCCTCCTTTATATGAGACCACATTTGGAACACAGAAGAAACTCTTTTCTTTCTCTCTATTTGTGCGGTTGCTTACACCGCTCAAAAAGATGGCATTTTGACAGCGCTTCTTCTTCTACTATATCTCCGTGTATAAACCCGGCAGACTGCACCGCCAGGATACGTCACGTCCTGTCCTACGTTTGTTATTCACGCCTCTGCCCTGACGTCATATGAAACTCAAGAATAAGAACTAGATAGATAGATAGATAGATAGATACGTAGATAGATAGATACATAGATAGATAGATAGCTAGATAGATACTTAATTGATCCCCGTGGGAGAAATTCAGGTGTCCAGTAGCAGCAAAAATAAAAAAAATAAAACCCAAGTGGTGGTTCTCGGTACTGACCTGTGTGAAAACTCTCCACATCTCTCCTGCACATACTGTAGCTCTTGAGAGGTGTGAGAGCGTGTGCAGTGGGGGCATGTAATCCCCCCGGCCTTCCTGTGGCCTGACCCTCCAGCTCCACCTGTGTACACTGCAATGAGCCCTGCCAGGACCCCCACCCATCCTGCAAACACACACCGGGGGAGCCACAACCCACACGAACTCACTTCTCACTCTCGCTTTAGTTCTGCCATGTTATGTGACGGCCTGTGTGTGTGCGTCGGACAGAACGTGCTGCTCTGTCCTCACCGTCTGCATTTGAATAGAACCGTGTTTATTCAGCCGCTCATTTGACTCGGCCGTTTCCCCAGGATCACGCAGATGCACAACCGGGCGGCGAGCAGGTGTCTGGATAAGGTTGCCATGGTGATCGTGCCGGTGGGGAGGGGTGGGGGGGGGAGGAGGGGCCAGTCCACACGTATACACTGGGAGTTTTTGTAGCGTTTGTAGAGCAAGAGTTACGTCAGACTGGCTGTAAGAGTGTGTAATCGCTGCAGTCATTACACTCTTGTGCTTTTAATGGGGACAATTACACTAATGATCAAAGCGGCTCTGGGCTTTGTGTGTGGCGGGAGCAGGGGAAAAGTGGTGCCGGCCTCTTCGTCTGGAGCGGAGGAGATGGTTCATGTTTTATATGGAGCCAGTGGAAATATCTGGGAAAGATGTTAAGGTTGTTTCAGCACGACACACTTTGTTGTTCTCAAAGTGGTGTTATTTGTTTGTTGGAAACACGAACTTCATACGTGAGCAAAAGCTAAACACTCAGCCTGAAAGATGATGTTTTTAATGGAAACAGAGACATTTATTCTCTTCACGTGTGAGAGTTCTTTCATTTGTATGCATTTTTTCTGTATGCGTTTTTTTCACACCTTTTGTCTAGTGTTTTATTGTAAAAGTATGTGTTTAACCAATCACACCACAACATAGATAGATAGATAGATAGAAATTCAGGTGTCCAGTAGTAGCAAAAATAATAAAGAAAATTGATCATTCTAAAAAAAAGATAACAACAGTAATAATCAGCCACAGTCCTTCAGGTCACAGCAGCAGAGGTGGAGTGGCCTCTGGGTGGAGCAGGACGGGTCAAAAGATGGAGTAGCCTCTTGGTTTGGACCATTTTCTCTGCTCTAGTCCAAAGTAAAATGCTAAATGCTTCAAGAGCATTTTTCAAAAAGTCAGCATTCCTCCAGTGGATTTTCACCTGATCCACTTGGTTTGGACCATGAATCCTCTCTGCTCCGGTCTGGACCAGTGCAAAACTTTGCACATTGTGCTGCAGCAACATCTCAGGCAGAAAAAAGCAATAAAAATAAAAATTGTAAAGCACAAAACAACAACTGTTAATCAGAGCTACTAAGGACTTACAGCTGTTACCCAGCGCATCTTTCAAAAAAAAAAAAAAAAGTAATTATTTGATTATTTTGACTGAGAGCTGATTCGCTGAGTGAGGGGGGGTCCTCTGCTCTCCAATATTCACTCCATACACAGTGTTAACCACAGTGTTTGCCACAGCTGCCCTGGGGCAGACTGACAGAAGTATGGCAACCTGTACTTGCCATCAGTCCCTCTGATGATCACCAACCGTTCACACAAACCCACACCCACACACAAACACACACACACACACACACTGTGGGTCAAGTGTCTGACACAACAACAGTTTAGCACTTTACAGCCGCAGTCGCCCCACTGTAGCACCTTGTCTTCCCAGAGGTCTCCCATCACAGAACTAACCAGCTTCTGAAATCTAACACAATCAGGCTTTCACACACAGGCAGCGACACAAAAGTGCATGTATTTGAAAACTAGTGGTCGAATGAAACTGTTTCAAAACCGAGAAACTAGTTTAATGGATTCTATGCCATGGTTAAATGAGTTTGTGGTATGAAAGTTAAGTTTTTCCACTTTAAATCTACAACTAAAATATTCAGAAAGACATTGGTTCTTCCTTTGAGCCATGTTGCTTGTCCACAGATCTGGCCTGTGAGTGTGTCCATGAAACCTGACCTTCAGTGTCTCCTGTCATGTTGATGAACGAGGACTTTAGTCAGCTCCATGTCCCATCATGACTTTAGCCCCGTTTCCACCGCACGTTTTTGGCTCGACTCCACTTGGCCTCGTTTCAGAGCTTTTCCAGCAGGGCCTGGCCCCTCGGAGCAGGTATTTTTTTTAGCTCCAGCTCCTCCCTTGGGCCTTTGTCGAGTCAAGCAGATATTAGTGAGGGATGTGCAGTGGAAAGGCTTTTGAGAGACCAGGACGTTCACTGTGGACTTGTACTGGTTTCATTGTTTTGTATTGATGGAAGTGAAAGTGAAAGTGAAAAGGAGGTGTTGCTGATCTGTTGGTTATATTCAGGTGGAATATTGTTGAGATATTCATCAATGTCTGTAATTCTAATGAGAAACCAATGTATGATAGAGACTTATAACATACAAAGTGACAGAAAGCCTTTGTTTGTTTTGGCTTACAGTTAATTTTTTAAATATTGAGATTTTTTATTTGGGGTTTTCCAAGCTGTAAGTTATTATCAACATTATAACAAACAAAGACTTGCTTTTGTGTGTAATGAGTCATATTACTTTAACAATTTATAACTGAGGTAAATTCCCTAATTGTCCATACACACATAGTACCTGTATGATACATTCTGGTATGTATCATGGACTGTTTGATCGTAATTGGATCAGGACTGGTCTGTGTGGGACTTCTGGTATTTCGTCCTGTGCCGAGGTAAATATTCACATTTTGTTGCTATTCTTTCTGAAAAGGTGCATTTAGGATTCACACACAGGCATAGGTAATGGTTAGAAACTGTCACGGTCTGGGATGGGGATAAGGTTTAGCTCGTAGTGGGTTGAAATATCAAGATTTTAGGGAGTCCCTGTTTGTAAACAAATGTAGTCATTTAGCCAAAATGACAGAACTACATTTGTTTGCATTTGTTTACTACAACCATTTAGTCTGTCCAAAATGTCTGCAGGTAAAGTTGAAGTGAATAATGTCCCCCACAGATGCGTCAACATCACGCACATGGTCTCCAGCCACATCAGTCTCCTCTGGATAATCGGGTTTAGGTGAACGAGTGACTGGGGGACACAGGATCATGTTTTTTACCTTGTGGCTTGTTAAGCTTTAATTATTAATCCGAGATCTTGAGCGGCGCGGCACGGCTAACCTTTTGAACTCAGTCTGACAAGTGGCGTTCGCATGCACACGGCCCTGTATGTGGCTGTACGTGCACGCTCCATATGGCACTATCAACCTTTTGAACCATGACGCGCGCACACACACCTACACACACACCTACACATACACACACACAAACACACACATACGCACTTATCAGCATCACACACAGCATGCTTTCCGCCTTTACAAGTGTCCATCTCTCTCCGGGTTCTCCTTGAATTGCTGCATTTTCCATAAACTCATTGGTCAGAGACGAGCTCTACCTACAGTCTCACGCTTTTCGATTACAGAAAGTGGAATGCTGCGTTCTCGAGAGGCGGGCGACCTTGTGTCGGAAAGGGACTGCAGATGTAAAGGAGCCATGAGGAGGTGGATGGAGAGAATAGTGAGGGAGAAGAAATACATGAGAATTACTTCAAATGTGAGGTGTCCTGAGAAGCTCTGAAACAGTTGTTGTTTTGTGCTTTACAATTGTTATTTTTCTTGCTTTTTTCTCCCTGAGATGTTGCTGCAGTACAGTGTTTATGGTTTTGCACTGGTCCAGACCAGAGCAGAGAGGATTCATGGTCCGAACCAAGTGGATCAGGCGAAAATCCACTGGAGGAATGCTAACTTTTTGGAAAATCCTAATAAAGCATTCAGCATCTCACTTTAGACCGGCTCCACCTCTGCTGCTGTGACCTGAAGTGCTGCAGCATTTTAATACTATTGTTAGCAATGTTTAGAATTATATATTGCTTTGTTTTTTTTTCGTGTGGATGGATGTGTTTCTGCTGCTACTGGACACCTGAATTTCTCCTACGGGGATTAATAAAGTATCTATCTATCTATCTAATCCTGCCACTGTCTATGGCTGTCAGAATGTGGATGTGTCAGAGTGGTTACCAATCCAAGTACAATTAAAGTGAACGACAGAAACAAGCATCATATTTTCCAATGCTAAAAATACTGTTATTCTTATCCCATTGCAAGCTACAGTAACCCTAACCCCTATCCCTGATGCCTATAAGCCCTATCCATGCCCCCATCCCCTAACCCTAAACCCCAAACCTTCACCAAATTAACTGTTTCTAACCTTAACTGAATTACATTTGAACAAAGACACAGAGAAACATGTGAATACCTGGGAGCAAATACCAAGATTTTAGTGAGAGCCTCATTTTAAAAGGGCTTCATCATGTTCCATAAACAGGAAGCTGAAACACATAAATATCTCCCTTTAAAGAGACACGACACCAGAATGTGAAGAATGAGTCATGAGGATGCCGCCGTTCTATTTCAGTGTTTTCAGAAAGGAGACATTTTTGAGAAGAAATGTTGGAAAAGACAAAAACTCATTGGTTTTGGATCAACATCAACTGCACTGAATCAGGATCTCTAACTTTGTCGACTGCTACTTTTATACAACAGAAACGACAGAGAGCTACTTCTCCGCAGAGAACATTCATATTTTTAAAGCAGGCTCAAGACACACCTTTTTAGATTAGCTTTTGATTGGTATTAATTATTTATTATTGTGTTTTAGTTAATTTATTCATATTTTTTAGACACATTTTATTTTGGTTTTATTTATTTACTTTTTGTCATTTACTATTGTTATTATTTATCTTAGGCAGCTGTCATTTTCTTTTTAGTGTCACATTTTAACGTTTAACTTTCTATTGTATTGTTTTAGTATCCCCAGTGTTTCCTCTGGAGGAGCCCCCTGCACTGGGAGCTGGGGTCTGCTGTGGCTGCGGGGGTCTGGCTCTTGGATCTAGTGGGGGTTTGGGGCCTCCTCTCTCCTCTGGGTCCTATGGGGGTCTGACTCCTGGAGCTGGTCGGGGTCTGGGGCCTCTTCTCTCCTCTGGGTCCTATGTTGTCCCCTGAGACTGCAGGCGGCTCTCTGCTCCAGGTGCAGATGGCTCCTTGGATGGCGCTTCTTCAGCTGAATGCATCTGCTCCCAGCCCTATATCTTTTCATAGTTTTTCCTTTTTTACCTTTTTGATGTAACTTCACACATGCATCAAATATGATTATATCCTACAGTATTTCTGCATTAATGACAAGATTTATGGTTGAAATAGATTTGTAATGACCCTTTGAACTGTAGTCTATGTAATAAGCCAGTCACGGACACACATGAACACTACACCTTTGGACGGTATCGCTGCACGGACGAATTTATAGTTCAAATAGACACAAGTGAGACAGACATTCAGGTTTTAAACACTTTTTTTTTTTTTTTTTTTTTTATTACTTGTGATTTTATTCTGTTTTTAATGTGTCTTGTGATCTTAATCATTGTTATTAATCGTTTTTTTAACTGTCTATGTGTAGATTTTCGTGTTTATGATTTTCTTGATGTGATGTGTGTTGTCTTTTGTAGGAAAGGTGCTAAATAAAAGTTGATTGATTAAACTCTTGAATCCTTTGGGGAGCTACCTGAAAGGGGGAGGCGAGCTTCTGGTAGCTCCCTTGCCGCAGGTTGGAGACCCCTGCACTGAACACATAATAACAAGCCTCGATCACAGAATCTTCCGGCAGCAGAAAGTAAGTAAGTAATGTTTATTTATATGGCGCATTCTACAGACCAAGGCCAACCAAAGTGCTCAAACATGTCACTTCTCCTTCAAACACCACTTCCCTCATTGTGGGTTTGAAACTCACGCACTTCGGCTTTTTGGGCGGCACGGCAATCCTGGGTTCAAATCCCGGTGGGAACAGGGCCTCTCTGAGTGGAGTTTGAATGTTCTCCCCGTGTCTGCGTAGGTTTCCTCAAAGTGCTCCGGTTTTCTACCACTAAAAACATGTCCAATAGGAATGAGTGTAATGAGAGAGTGAATGGATGGTGTTGGGTCAGAGGCTTTGATGGTCCAGTGTGTTCGGCGTCTCGCTTCAGTCATCATCACCGTGTGTGGAGTGATTTCAACAATATCTGATTTCTGACATTGTAAAGCGCTTTGGGTGACCTTGGTCTGTAAAATACGCTATATAATTAAACATTACTTGCTTACTTAGCAGAACTCTGAGCTGCACTTTACAACTCTGCACCTGCTCAGAGCCAGGCACTTCACTTCGCACGCTTCCACTTCCTCTAAAACATCACAGCCTTTTCCCAGGAAGTCATAAACACCCAACGCAGATCATTAGGAACCCAAGGGCCCTGCATGGAACCCAGGGGCCCTGCGTGTGCTGCATCTACCTCTACACACAAAAAACAGCCTTTACCATATGTCAGCGCACCGTCAACTTTAACCGGCAACTTATCACGCCTACCTCCCTCAGCTGCAGTCACGCACAGCCCGCCCCAAAGCCCTGCCCCAAAGCCCTGCCCCGAGCCAAGGTCTTAGAGGTCCCGACCCTACGCCTCTTCAGGGGCCATGCAAAGTTCACCGCACAACCACCACCATATTTGGCTGCCGGCTGCTCCACGGTAAAGACTTTGGAGTTGAAATTTGAAATGATACAGAGGAAAGGTGGTGGGGGGTAGTGGAATGTCTATTGGTTGCAGATGGGTTGAGGGAGGGGAGGGGAGGGAAGGGAAGGGGGAGAGGGGCTGGGGTTTTCCTACAGGAAGTGCAGAGAGAAAGAGAGAGGAGTTGCGCACGCTAAGGCCGTGCATGTCGGAGTGTTTGCAGAGCGCACGGGAAGCAGAGAGGTCGGATTTAAAAAGCAAAGCAATGCTCATTTGCCTCCGCGTGTAAAAGATAAACGGGGGTAATTTGATCCGTGCGACGCAGCAGAAGGAAGCAACGAATCAAGGAAGCTGAGAGTCATGGGTCAGGAAGAGAAGGTTTAACAGATATCTCACTATATATCTATTTATAGTGAGTTGAACTGATTGTTAAAGAAGCAAATTCGGAAATAATAATGGACTTTTTGAGGTATTAGTCGAGTTATAATTGTTTTCCATTCTCATTTACTCTTTCCAAAGTTATTCTACAGCATTCAAGAGGGCGTTGTTGATAATCCCCGCCACAAAGTAAGAAAATATCAGTTGCCTTTTCAAGACCCTAGAGTCGACCAGAACAAAGCGGGACCCCATTGGCTTTATTTTGGAGATTGATAATTACGATAATAATGCAGTGAGTTTTATACAGCGCTTTTCAGGACACTCAAAGATTCTTCACATGTCATTATTCTTTCCCTCCAAACACAGTGGTGCTTAACTACTGTAGCCACAGCTGCCCAGGGGCACACTGACAGAAGCGGGGCTACCATTATGTGCCATCAGCTCCTCCCAGCCCCAAACCATTCACACATAGGACTCATTCTAGGCCCCAGAGACGTTCTAGTGAACATTCAAGGGTTAAGGCAGTCAGAATGTGTTTTTTTTTTAAAATAAAAGGTGGATCCAATGTTTGTATCCTCATTGTTTCTCCATAAACCTTCTTCTCTTGCAGTAGAGACTGTGTTGTGTGTGGTTCAGTTCCTCCTATGGGACCATTTTGTTTCTCTCTCATACATTTGAGTTTTGATCTCTTCTGTTCCCTCTCTGCACCTCTGCCCCTCACCCACATCCTCGCTTCTGAGAACCACCAGTCATTCCTGGAGGGCAGTGAGGCAGACCCGGTCCTGTCCCACCTCTGGTCCCGTCTCTGGTCCCACCGCTGCACACACAGAGGCAGGCGGTGGAGATGCGCCAAAATCGTTGAGGTGCCTACACGCCCCAGGAGGTGGAGACGATTCATGAGCTTAAAGTAAGTAAAAAAAAAAAAAAAAGTGCTATAGGCTGGAGGAGAGATCACAAGGAGCCGAGCGTGGAGATGATGGGGAGACGGAGCAGACGGATGGGGGCAAACACGGGGCAAACCTGCGCAGTCTGAGCGGAGCAGCAGACAGAGCCCCCCCCCCCCCCCTCGGTCTTCATATGATCCTTGTTCCACTGAGAAGTCAGAGCCAGCTGTGTGTGTGTGTGTATGTGTGTGTGCGCAGATACAAAAAGACATGATTGTTGTGCGTTTGTTGTGAGGTTAAATACATAAACCAATGCTTTTCTTTTCCACTTGGTAAGAGCTATAATTCTCACACAGTTACGGCTTTTAACAAGAAATATTTGAGCCTGAATGACTAATCCACCTGTTAATCACGGCCGTCTGACCTCGTGGGAGAGATTCCAGAGACTCGTGTTGCTGTGAAGTATTGGAGAAGTACTGCTCCCCTGTACAGTAATCATAATAGTATTCATAATAATATTCATAATGAGAGGGCAATGGTTTTATATAGTGTTATTCTTTTACTCCTTAACAATGGGGATGAACTACGACTGTAAGAAAAAATAAAAAAATGCACACAAAAGAATCTTCACGTGCTCACCTTTACCTCACTCTTCCTGGATCTTTGCTGGATCCTGAGGTCCAAGTGTCCACGTGGTTCCAGTGAGACCAACCAGGACACACTTGTTTAATCAGGTCTTCAGGTGAACACCGGAGTCAAAGAGGTGGAGTCCGGGTGCTCCTGCTGGAATGAAGACCCAAAGCCACACCAGCAAAGGGTTTTTGAGTATATTCTGTAACATATTTTTGTACTGTATGCATTTCATTTGGTAATAAATTTAATAATTATAAAAATATGTTCAATTCCTGGACTTGAGAATAAGGATAAACGCGGGTTTGTCAGCTGGGCTCCAAATGAAAGCCTCTGGACACACCATGGAGCTGAGAGGTTGCTTGTGCTGGGTCAATCCTGGTCCTGGGTCAGTGCTGGTCCTGGGTCAGTGCTGGTCCTGGGTCACTGCTGGTCCTGGGTCACTGCTGGTCTTCGGTCTGAGCTGGTCCTGGGTCAGTCCTGATCCTGGGTCACTGCTGGTCCTGGGTCAATGCTGGTCCTGGGTCAGTGCTGGTCCTGGGTCAGTCTTGGTCCTGGGTCAGTGCTGGTCCTGGGTCAGTGCTGCTCCTGGGTCAGTCCTGGTCCTGGGTCAGTGCTGGTCCTGGGTCAGTCTTGGTCCTGGGTCAGTGCTGGTCCTGGGTCAGTCCTGGTCCTGGGTCAGTCCTGGTCTTGGGTCAGTGATGGTCCTCGGTCTGAGCTGGTCCTCGGTCTGAGCTGGTCCTGGGTCAGAGCTGGTCCTGGGTCAGAGCTGGTCCTGGGTCAGTGCTGGTCCTCGGTCAGAGCCGGTCCTGGGTCAGTCGGTGTGGAGCTGGGGCCTCTCTCTGGAGCACATTATCCACGCGGCTCAAACACCATGTGCTGAACACTGAGGAATGGACCGGTCCACAGAAGCAAAAACAGGCAGATTTAAAGGAGACACACAGACACACACGCACACAGACACACAGACACACACACACAGAAACACACTCATACACGGACGGCTCTAAAGTCGGCAAAAAAAGATGAAGAAGTCTTGTTTGCTGTTTTCACCCCTAAACCAGTCACTTCTGCCCCAGTCCATATGAAGGTTGGGAATCTAACCCTAACCCTGGAGGTTAAAGCTGGGATCCCCAACTTTCAAACCACAACAATTAAAATATCAACTCTAACTTCCTTGTTCCTGGCTCTCAAAAAAGTTCCATCTCTAGTTTTCACATCACGTGTTTATGTTTCTGTCACATCATCGTTTTCAGTAAAGCACATTTAAAGGAGTCACTTAACCAATCAGCTCTCAGCCCAAAGCTTCAAACAGTGACTCACAGGGAACCTTCTTAAAAGTATGGAAAAGATTAAAATACAGACAGAAAGAGGTGTGATTATTTTCCCTATTTTAACTTTTTTTAAGACTGTGTTAGAACAGTTAGGTCCCCAACATAAATGAGTTTGGGGTTAGATACATTTAACCACATAATAAAAGAAAACATAACTAGCAATATCTCTTTACGTTCTTTAACTTTCACTTCCATTTTAAAGTCACAAATGTACAAAGGCTGGGATTTTTTTTTCAAACCAAAAAAAAAAAAAAACCTTAACAAAATGATTAATTCCCTTGAAATAGTTCCTTGCTCCTCGGCCTCGGTCTAAACAATCTATTTTCTAATAAGGAGACTGCATATTGTTCACAACATTTTACTTTTAAGAGTCTGCGTCGGGACCAAAAGCATTCAGCAAAAAAAAACAAAAAAAAATTACGTACCCCAGCTTTAATTCGTGTTCTTGTGCTATGCTAAAGCTAGAAATTTGATACTTGCTTCTTAATTATGGTAAAGTTATAGACTTTTGTTCACTTTTGCTGTATGCTCCTCATTCCCACTTTTCTGTTCTGTACGATTAAACTATTGATCTGGAAAGGCTGCACTTCAGATTCATGCTGCTAACATCTGGAACAGTCTTCCTGAAAATGTCTACTCTGACAATGTGAGGCTATTATCTACTTTATAGATTTTTATATGCATTGAGACTATTTATTTTCTAATCCCGTGTGTGTTTTTAATGTTTTAAGGTTTTAATAACTTGCGATTTTATTCTGTATTCAATGTATATATTTTTTGTATATGTAGATTTTAATGTTTCTGATTTGTTTGATATGTGGGTTGTGAGGCGCTTTGAGTTGCCTTGAGTTGGAAAGGCGCCATACAAATAAAAGTTGACTGATGTTCAAATCCAGGTTAAAGACTGTTTGCCTGTACACACAACTGAAGGACTTTGTTTCATTCTCCATTTTTAATTCACCGTGGTTATTTTTAAATCCCTTGTGTGATTTTAATGTTTTTAATTATCTGTGTGATTTTTAGCTGTGTTTTAAATGGAAATTCTGTTTGTTTTGTGTGATTTGTGCCGTGTGTGATGTGGACTGGAGCGTCTTGTGTTGTATGAAATGGCCTCTACAAATAAATCCATGGATTTCACAGAATGTACATACCTGTATTGCAACACTGGCATTTCCCCACAGTAAGACCCATAAAAGATCTGTTTGTCTTAATCTTAAAAATGAAGCAACACTTTTGGATCGGTTGTGCAGGAGCTGCGTTTATCAGTCGCAGTATTTCAGATTTTCTAGACCCAGGACTGAAAGGAGAAGTCCAAACCACGGCTGCTGCTACAGGACAAGCCTCTGATTGGCTGCCTGGGTTTCTATGCATTTTGTGATCACTCCATTTAAATGTGGCTTCTCCATTTTCCTCCATGTTAATGTAATGACAGAGAAGGAACAGGGTGTAAAAGACGGGGGTACAACAGAAGGGGAGGGAACGGGGTGTGCCAGGCGTGGAGCTCTCAGTGTTCCCTCTCAAACACAAACCCAAAGAGATGAAGCAATAATTACGTAAACAAAACCCCTCGCGGAAATCACAGCGCGTTAAAAGTTATTTGGATGAAAACACATGCCAGGCATTAGGTCACTTTCTCTTTCGGATTTTTTTATTTAATCAATGTTTACATTTAACATAAATAAACATTTTTTATGAACAAAAGGCACACAGCTCAAATATAAACAAAGAGAACGTCTGTACAGTTTGTCTCGGCAAAACCGCAGTCTGGGAGCGCGAGCCGAGGCCAGAGGGACCGCCCCCGACCGAGCGCGATGGCGTCATGCACACACGCCCGTCTCGTCTCGTCGAGCAGGCCACAAGAATCATGTCCACCAAAGAAGATTCAAACACGCAGCACAAAATATAAGGGCCATGGGTAAACACTTAACCTTTTGTAAGAAAACGAAACAAAAAAAAAACAGTTTCTCGAAAAGTTGGAAGCCACTAATCGGTTGTTCTGTCGCTTCCTCGGAGTTTTACAACCAACTTCATTCACAGTACTGGAGAGATTGCTACTGTCTACAGCAGTGCAGAGACTTGGGAGTCCAAACGTCTTCGAAAAAAGTACCAAGTCAGGTAGGATTCAGGGGGGTTGGAGCGTCCGATTTGTGTCCAGTGTCCGGGTGGCGCCCCCTCCTGGGTGACGCGTCCGGTGGTCGTGGCGGTAGGTGTGGTCTATTAGAGAGTCCAGTCCAATCTGGTTTGCACCGGTCTGCTCCTCCGTGCTGCAGCCCAGTGCCGTTGGATCCAGATACAGCTACAGATGTGTTCCATTTGCGAGCTTTTCCGAGACATTTTTGTTTTTTCTCTCTCAAACCATTTCAAGTATTCCGCTGAAGGTGAAGATCATTGTTGAATCAAAGAGAAAGATCAGTCCGTCCCAAACTCAATTGGAAAAGGGGCTCGATTCGTTTTCATTTTTTCAGTGTTTTTTTTGCGCAGTGGTGGGAGTAGAAAGCGCGCGTTGGCACTCTCGGACCATCCAAGGGGGGATGACCGTCCAAAAGCTAGAGGAGGGGCTGGGGGGGTTGCAGGAGGGGTGTGGATCAAACGGACACGGTGGTGGGCACTTCTTCATAGTGGATGATGAAGTAGGGGTAGCTCTGGTCGTCGTTGAAGATGACGTAGATCTGCGGGTCCACCCAGTTGTCCACGCAGGAGTCGAACAGGTCGCTGGAGGCGTCGCGGGGGTTGATGGGGGGCGGGCGCCGCATGGAGGGGTTCCCCACGGTGAACCTGCAACACACAAACGCCACGGGATCATGAGATTTGTGTTTTTCCGCAGTTTGTTATCAGCCTGTTGTGTTTTGTGTGTCGTGTTTGGAGAGGTTTAAACATTAGCTCGAGGGCCGGGAGTTGAAATACAATCCTTTTGCTCAATTAATCAATACAAATAAAAGAGAAATGTTTTAAGCTGGGCCCGGAACGCCTCGGGATGAGCCCCTGATGAGCTGGAGGAGGAGGTTTGGAGAGGGAGGTCTGGGCTGCCTCTGTGAACGGGCAACGGATAAAGTGGAAGAAAATGAATGGACGGATTTTGAGCTATTTAAAACAGGGCTGCATAACTTAAAGTATCAATATGTAAGATTTTCATGTCAAGTCATCAATAAATGGCCCTAATCTGTCAAAAGGTCCCGGGTTATTGTTTTTTTTTCTCTGTCCCGCCCTCCACCGTTTTACCAAATCAGAAAGTCTGATCCGGGCGCCAGAACTCACCGTGTCGAGCTAATCTCACTGGTAAAGTACTATGTGGCCGCAAAACTAAAAAAAGGTCTCGTTATGATTCTCAAATCATTAACGACAACAATTTCTATTTTTGTGAAAAAAGTATCGGTTATAGATTTGTCTGCATATCTGGCAACCCGAGTCAGTACCAGAGTGCAGTACCACTTTTGGCCAGATTTTTACATATCGCTCATTTAACTATGTACATTGTTGTCATGTAATTTGTCCCAACAGAAAGTATTGAAAATGTTACAACAACATGCCGTCTTCATCTTTTTACAAAACATTTTCAAACTTGTGAGAAAGAGCCCTGTGAGTCACTATTTGCCACTTTGGGTTGAGAGCTGATTGGCTGAGTGTGGGAAAATATACAAATGTGTAAAACTGAAAGCCAACAAGTCTCCTCGTTTTACACCGATTAACCCAATTTAATCTGGAGCACCCAAAACTGAAACCACAATGGAAAGAAACTAACTAGATGCAATAAAAATAATTAACTAGATGTAATGAAATCCAGTTGAACGAGTTCTAGGCCCCACAGCAGTTTGGGGCCCTCACTAGTTTTCACATGCATGTTTTTTTAAATTTCTGTCATGTTTTTAGATCAGCTTTCTCGGTAAAAAAAAGTACCAGCCCTCACTCGGCCAATCAGCTCTCAGTATGCAAAAGATGGAAAGTTTTCTACTGGGATGAAGACGGCATGTTGTGGTTCGATGTGTTCACAAAACTCATCTATGAAACAAAAAGCTTCAGTGGTCCAGCTTCAACGCTGACACCTAATAATTGACTTTGATTAACATACAACAGCTAGATGCTACTATTCAGACTTTATAACCAACTAAAAATATGCAATGTTCCAACTTAAATGTTTTATAAATGCGCAGAAAAACCAGGTCCACATTTTTCCCAGTGTATCATTAATAATGGATTTTCTTTCCCCTTCTGGCCAAACGGCGGGAAGGGGGGGATAGGCGTGTGTGTGAGCCAGCTCTGGTTGGACTGGCAGAGCTGATATCTTTCTTTCTATGTGCGGGTCCCGTCTCTGGTCCGGCTCTGGTCTGGCTCTGGTCTGGCTCTGGTCTGGCTCTGGTCTGGCTCTGGTCTGGTTTGAATGTCTGTGTCTGCACATTGGCACAGATCGGACCCAGGTGTAGTCTGGCCTCGCGCTCCTCTCCCTCTCCCTCTGCCAGCCCTGGGTGCAGCCAAATCAGTCGTTTTACATATTTTTTGCCTCTTGTTTGGAGGCTGAGTGAATGATGGTTTATGGAAAAGCACCTCCGGAGTCATAGACGTTGATATATTGTCAAAAGTCGAATAGAAAACGCATGAAATTGGCGGGAGAGGAGGAGGTTTGAGGTAAACAGAACCAAACGTGCAGCTCGGAGACAGAGGGAGAAGGACACATACGGCCTTCATTTTGGAATCGGGAGAGTGATGGTACTTTCCAGCTCACATCTGACAATAATAACGTGTTTAGATCAAGCAAAATTGTTCGCGCTGACAAACTTGGATGAGTTTTTGTTGCCTTAAAAAAGGTATTTCGTAGCTGGAAGTCACAATAGCCGTGTTTCAATTCGGTGAGAAGACCAGTATGTGTGACAGCTTTTGGGAGGGACGCAAAAATGAGTGGATTTTTGTGGATAAATGAGACGTAAATGTATCTAACATGTAGGACACTAGTAACACATAATTGGTTCTAATATATTTTTTTAACCCTTAGTTGATATCTAATGATAGACCTTTACCAAGATGCAATTTGATGGTATAGTGCTTAAAACCAAGTGCTAAAGACACCGCAAAGAGGGAGACTTCAGGCCGAGCTTCAAGTACGTAAGTAATGTTTTTTTTATAGCGCATTTTACAGATTAAGGTCACCCAAAGCGCTTTACAATGTTCAGAAATTAGATATTTTTTATGGAAGCAAAATGCCGAACATACTGGCGCATCAAAGCCCTTCTAATCGTCTACATTATCATTTTTTTCACATTATTTCTACCAAGAAAGTGAGAATCGATCATTTCCAAAGACACAGCAAACACCAACTCAAGACACACCAAAGTGCCACGCCCCACTGGTTCAAAAACACTGCTCTTGTGGATAGAACTTTTTACCCATTATTTTTTCATTTTTTAAGTACATACAGTCAGACTATAAACCAAGTTATCTTAATAAAGTATGCTACCAATTCCCTTTCCTTACTTGCCGTTTTCTGGGACCTTAGTCAGAGGTGTCCAAATCGGTCCAGAAAGGGCAGAGTAGACTCCTCCCATTTCATGAAATCTTCAGGTTAAGAATGAATTTACTTGAGGAAATGGGTGGAGTCTGCGCTGCGCCTGCTGAGTCTGATAGAAAACCTGCAGCCACAGCGGGCCTTTCTGGACCGGTTTGGACACCTCTGACTTTGGTGGAATTAAATTAAACTTGAGTGACATCCAAAACTCTTTAAAAGCTCCACTTGACCAAGCCTGGAACCACCTGGTCTCACACAAGGTCAAGAAAAAGAAGGAGGAACGAGGAGGAGTGGTGAGGAAGGGGGAGTGGCTAGGAAGGAGGAGTGGCGAGGAAGGAGGAGTGGCGAGGAAGGCGGAGTGGCGAGGAAGGCGGAGTGGCGAGGAAGGCGGAGTGGCGAGGAAGGCGGAGTGGCGAGGAAGGAGACACTGTTGATGGATTTGGAAGCGGCCATTACCTGCCGGTGAGGACTTTGGCCAGGAACATGCAGTGGACTCCTTTGGGCGAGCGCTTGGAGAAGTTGTGGGAGTACACGGCCTTGCGAGCGAAGTAGGATCCCTGGCCGAACATGGTGGCGTGTTTGCCGCAGACGCGTGGGTCAAAGTTGTGCTTGCAGATGCCCTCCACCACGTCGGCCGAGGTGCCGTGGAACAGGTGGCGCTCGCTCAGCAGCTTGTCCACCTCCGTCATGCGCCGCAACATGTACTCCTTCTTCCTGCGAGGGGAAAAGAGGGCGGGGTTAATTACATGCAGGTATTCGACTTCAACAATGACGTTACTAATACTTTGTTTTCAGCAGTAAAAATCCAATTTTTTCCTCATTCCAAGTGAAAATTCTCTCTAATGCTTTGCTTTCCTGGTGGATCCTTTTGAGTCACCAAGTTAAGTTAAGAGATACTTTATACGTCCCAAAGCGGGGAAATTTCAGTGTTGCATCACAAGTTACAGAAAAGGAATGAGGAGCACACGGTACAAGATAAATGAATGATTTTTAATTCTATACTAATTAAAAATCTCTATCTCAAGCATCAGATAAAAAAGTATAAAATCTATCTTTAACATAATGCAGTATAAAATCTACTACTCTCACTAAATGTACTTTTAGCTTGGAACTAAAATCTACGTCATTGGGGAATCTATAACTTAGTTTTAGGCGCTCTTACAAATAAACCTGCATCTCAACCATTTGATAAAGGCTGATTATTAAAAAAAAAAAAAATCCACTTTTACATTCCTGTTTTTAAGGAGCGAACATTAAAGGGTTAAATGGCAAATCCTGTTTGTGGGGAATTCCATCATGTACATTTTGCTGAGAGCCCCCAGCTGGGAGTCGACAGTCGCTCTAGAGCACTACATCCATGATTGCACTACACCAAAAATCAATCTACAGGGTTTTGTTGGAGCAATATTCCCATGTTCAGAAAAATAAAACCCAAATGTATATCAAAGAGTTTGGTCAAAATACAACCATCATGTAATCAATAACCGAGAGAGAGAGCTTGGTTTAAAAGCACAGTCTAAAATGAACTTTTGGCCCTAACCCAAAATCCCATCTCCCTCAATATTCCTATTTGGGCGTGTGGCAGAGTTTGTCTTTCTGCTGTAAAAGAAAAGATTTGTTTCCCCCCAGTAGCATCACATGTAAAACCAGGCCAGAAACAGGACTCTTCCCGGTCTAAACCAGGACTCAGACTGAACTACACACTTGCCACAATAGTTACAGGCGTCCGTGACTCTTTAAAAAACGAGAAAGAAAAAAAAACGGTTGAACAAGTGAAAAGCTGCTCTCATAAAGCCAGAAGCCGATGAGCTGCAGCAGAGAAACCCACTGTTCCATTTCATCGCTGGAAGATTTCAATTCAACATTTGGATTTGGGAAAAATTAAGGTTTGAACCATGTTGTCTCATTCTCCTCAAGATGTTTTGTATTTATACCATGTTTTTGCGAAAATGACTCCACAACATCCAAGTCAGAACTCGCTCACTTCTGATTCCATGTCTCCAGTGAAATGATAAATGGTTCAGGAGCAGGACACTGGCACTGCAGCTCACAACACAACTGTATAAACGAACACGCAACGATAACGAAAGACAGTGACGAACTAGAACCAGGTCCACATTCTGCGTCATCAATAGCTGTATATAACACACAGACCAAGCAGATGTAAAATCTTGTGGATCAAACTGAAAAGTAGCATTTATCCAGTGTTTTTTAATCACACGTTATTCCAATTATCATACATTCAAAGCTTTTTGGTGTAATATGAACGTTAGGCTTTTAAATTATCATAAAAAACCATCTTTGTCTAAATTAGGAGCCATTTTACCAGAGCACTAAGACATTCCCACCACAATCCATTCAATGTATTTTAGCAGTAGTTAGCAGTGGTTAGCAACAGTTAGCAGCAGAATTAAAGTTTATCTGCTTTGTCCTTGTCTATAATGTATATTAACAGATAGTTAGTATCCCATTATCTCTATTTTATACTGTAAATGTGTACATATTCACAGATGCCACTATATGTATATTCCCGAATATCTATATCCAGATGATTCCATTTTCACAATATAATCTTTGTATTATTCTTATGTTCATATTGTTACTTTAATGTTATTTTTTATTGTGAAACACTATGTGAGCCACTGTGACAACGCAATTTCCCTTGTGGATCAATAAACTAGTTATTTCTGAGGACAAAACCGTCAAAATTCGCCAACACAGATCAGAGAATTCAGCCTCCGGGCAATAGTTTGGACACCCCTGTATTAGCGCATCCACAGACCTGCTCAGGAGTGGCCGTGGAAAGCCTGTGTGCATGTGTGCGCGCGCTTGTTTACCGTAGTAGGTAGTAATCCTCTGCCTGAGCGGCGCAGACGGCCTGATGGGGAGGAGGGAGGAGCCCGTGGCGTTGATGTGTCGTCAGATGTAGCGAGACGTGGGCCACAGTATAGAACCCTAACCCTTCTGAATGATCCATGGAGACTGAAATGAGTCCAGTAACTGCTCTGGTCATGTCAGGCGGTGGATTGTGTATTATATGGAACTTGGTTTTATTTTGAATTCAGTTCTCTGTGGTTTTTTTTGGTTTTACTTCCTGACTTGTTGCCCTGTTGGTCTGCCCCGCCCTAATGAGATTCACCAGTGTCTCCCTGTGTTTCTCTCTGTGTGTGTGTGTGTCTGTGTCTCTCTCCGTGTGTGTGTGTCTCTCTCTGTGTCTCTCTCTGTGTCTGGGTCCGTCTCTCTCTCTGGGTCCGTCTCTCTCTCTGGGTCCGTCTCTCTCTCTGGGTCCGTCTCTCTCTCTGGGTCCGTCTGTCTCTCTGTGTCTGTCTATCTGCGTCTCTGTGTCTGTCTCTCTACATCTCTATGTACCTGTGCTCTTCCCCATTTGGTTTTTGTGTTTAGTTTAGATTTTGGTGTTTGTCGTTTTGATGGACTACTCTTTATTATCATTCACTCATTCTCTTGCTTTCTTGCATTTCAGGTCCTTCCTTGCTATTACCAAAAAATATTGTCAACAATTCACCAGGGGCATTTTGTTTTTTATTATTATTGCAGCTACAGTTTACGGAAAGAAAGCTATGAGTAAAGCTATTCCTCTTTAACATGGTGTGATATATTTCAGGGGGTATAATCAAAGTGTGAATGTTAGCTTAGCGGTTCAAGGACGTTTTCCCCACTTTGAATGAGACCATTTTATTTATAGCAAACAGAATCACACAGTGCAAAGTGCAAACAGAAACTTAGTCACTTTAAAATATGAAGTTTACCAAGAAACCGATACAGGTTTGTGCAGGTGGAAACATTTAAACTATAAAACCATGCTTTATTTTTTTTCCATACGCAGGTGTTAAACATGCAGCAAAGCGTGGAAATAATATTCACACTTTATTATCAACTTGCGAGCCTCGATGCTAAGGGGTGGATAATGGCGGCTGTGGCGTGTTACACATACATTCAAAGCCAATTTTACCATTAGAACCATTAGTTTTAAATTAAAATTGGCCCATCAGTCTGTGTAAAAATCCTTTCTTCATGAATGAAATCTGGTCATACAAAGACAGACGAATATTCTTAGTATAAAACGGACTTCTTTACCTTTGGGTCAAACCAACACGGATTTTTGCTCAGAAATATATCCCAGGAAACAATACCCCAACATATATCAAATAAACGTATAGCGGATAGGGGCGACAGTAGCTCAGTTGGTAGAGCATTGGCCTTCAGGCCTGAAGGTTGTGGGTTCAATTCCCACCTCTGCACCTTCTCCACCGACTCCCACTGATGTCCGCTGTCGTTGTGTCCTTGGGCAAGACACTTAACCCCACTTTGTCCAAAGCCCCCACTGAAAGATCAAGGCTATACTCACACTCAGAGAGCAGCCGTCCTCCTGTGGACTCACCACCTGCAGAGGGTCAGTGAGGGGCTGGTGCTATGAGACTTGGGTGGCATCTCTGACTGCCACCCCCCTGACCCAGAAATGGATTAAAGGGTAGAAGATGGATGGATGGTATAGCGGATACTCCACCTTTTGACTACTTTGTCCTGCTCCACCCAGAGGCTACTCCACCTCTGCTGCTGTGACCTGAAGGGCTGTTGCTGATTATTACTACTGTTATCTTTTTAGAATTATCAATCTTATTTCTTATTTTTGCTGCTACTCGACACCTGAATTTCTCCGACAGGGATCAATAAAGTATCTATCCATCTATATCTACAATGTGCCCAGAAAACCTCTATCATACCAACCAAAGATGCAAAAGACAGAGACCTTGGTATAAAGTAGTCAAAAAAAAAACAACAACAAAAAACCTTTTGGCTTCACACCAAACTGAGTGATGATCCAGGACTCAACATTAGTAAGTAAGTAACATGTCTGGACGTTGGTCTCCGCCGCTTATGAACCAATGGCTCTGTGTTCTTTTATCATTGCATTTCTTGAACGGGTTGATTCTCTGATCTGTGTTGGCCAATTCGACGGTTTTCTTGAGTCCTCCGAGATAACCACTGTCTGAACTGTGATCCTCTTTCCCACAGAGTCTCATAAAGTCACGCCGTGTGTATACAGCTCTGACTCACGCCCGCTCCTCCCCCGCCAACTCAGCAGTCCGGGTGAAAGCTTGCTGAGCGCCGCCGCTGAGGCCGCACCGGCAGAACCCTCTCCCACCTTCTCACACTTCTCAACTCCACTTCCTCCGCCAGAGAACTTGTGGCGACCTCTTGACAATCTGTTCCCCGGCTGCAGCAGTGTCCGCGGGGGTGAGGAGGTAGTGAGACGTGGGAATTTGCAAGAGAGAGACTTTAATCTGAAGAGGATGGGGGGCGTACAAACACCGGCGTTTGTTTTTTTATTGCTAAAAAGGTGTCGGAATGAATGGTGCTTTCACTAAATGAGGCCAGTGACGAGGCAGAGATTGATGTTGAAATACAAATTGCACTGAAAATGGAGGGATTCAGGAACGGCTTGTGCTCAAACAAAAGCAGGACCGTAGCATCAGAAGTGGTAGAGTAACTAGGAGCTGATTCATTTAAGGCTGGGGAACCAAATATATACACCACAACAATGGAACTATGTCATAAAATACATAAAACTAGTTCTGGTTTGCTTCTATCACTAATTTTCACTCTTTAGATCAGCTATTTCGGACAAAAAGCAAAATATAGGGTTTTTTTTTTAAATAAATTGTGCTATACTTAATGTTAATGTTATATATCTTATTCTCTGCTTGTTCCTCGTTCCTACTATTATGTAACTTGTGAGGCAACACAGGAAATTCCCCACGGTGAGACAAATAATGGATCTATTAAATGAATCACAAAGAGGACCACCCTCACTCCGCCAATGTGCAAAAAGTAATGTTTCCTGATAAGACAAGAAGGTTGTGGTCCGATTTTACAGACTCACACACAAAGCAGTATGAATGAACAAAGTTAGGCACCCCAGCTTTAAAACTACACATAGCATTGCCTGAAGATGGATCAGCTGGTGTAAATATCTCTTTCATGTGTTTTTGTTGTGATTCCTGACTTTTCGCACTAACATTAGACACATTTTAGTGCCTTTTTTTCTTATTGTAAAATGTATATACAATCTTTGAACTCATGTGACCCGAGATCTAAAGTACACATTGGCCGAAGAAAAAACTACTACTACTGCTACTGCGATAAGTCTTTCAAAATGTTTTCATAAAATCTGAATAGTCAAAAAATAAACCATGCAATTTAGAGTAAAAGACCATGAAAATATTCCGGATTAGGGCAATGACCAGTCCAAAACAATGCAGCATTACTAACACAGAGAGGTACGATCAGGGCAGAAGGAGAATTTACTCTAAAGTCACTGTTCTCCGGATGAAACAATCAGAAACCTCGACATGGTCCAAGAACGACAGCTTTATCCCAGAGATGACGTCAGAACGCTATCTGTCAAAACTCGGGTCCTTCAGTCTGACGTCTGCATCGCATCAGAGGCACATGTTTTAGAACCGTCGCTTTCCAAACAGACCTCGCTCTCATGACATCGTTCAGCAGCTAATGCCACCCGCACTTCAATTCAACGCAGATGCGAGACCGCCACGCCGAGCCAGTAAATATTTACCAAAACTGGAAATGAGGGTCGTTTGGAGTAATGACATTATAGACACTGGGGATGTCAAGGTGAGAAGATTTTTTTCTTAAATATATTTTTTAATGAATTTACGATAAATGGCTTCAGAAAGCTACCCCTAAGATATTATATTGTTGATTTCACAATGGATGGAGAAAATTATAAGTCACATTTGGCATAGATAGGACCACTCAGGGTGTGCAAAGACAGGAAATGAGTAACTTTTGAGTAATAACAAGGTACTTTATGTACAGTAAAAGTGACTATAGCAGTGCAGACTATTACACTGACAATTACAAAAAGAGGAGTTCCCTGTACTTCTGTGATTCAACTTACAATGTGAAACTAAGTCATGACAAAGTGAGATTAATCAGTTATGATTTTAATAATTGTGGCTGTAAAAACTTAATATTTTGAACATGGTCCTAATCCATAATCGTCAAAATGATAAATGCTTGACATGTGTTTTCTTTCTGATACTTTATGTACTTCTGTTGTTTTTGTCTGTCTGTGTCTGTTGTACTGTATTTTTATCTATGACACTTTGAGGTTTCCTGGAAATGTAAGGTGCATTATAAATAAAATGTATTACTATTACTAGATTAGCTGTCACTTTGCACGTCCTGAGCGTCACAAGGAAGTAAGTCTAACATCTCCCACTTTAGCAGAATGGAGAAGCAAGAATGGAGTGAGCAAAGAAAGCGCTCAGGTGATAAATATCGGTCCCCAAACGCCATTGGCCACTCACCGCTTGTACTTTTCCCAGAGGAAGGGGTTCTGCACGCGGAGGATCTTGATGATGCGGAACTTGGTCTCGGAGACGGTCTTGTGGAACAGGCTGTAGACGGTGCGGTAGCTGCGGTCCTCGCGGGACACGGGCACCTGGAGGAAGTCCTGGCTGGTGTTCATGGGCAGCCAGGTCTCCGGGAAGAGGCTGGGAGGGCTGCCCGAGGTGGGGGACAGGGGCTGTGTGGAGGACAGGTCCGTGCAGGAGGAGGAGGGGGAGGAGGAGGGCAGGGAGAGGCCGCCCAGAGTCCTGCACACAAGACACAACAAAAGAGGTTTTAGATATAGGCGTGTCAAGAGTAGGGAAATATCAGGTATTAAATTAGGCTAAAACTACTCAAAAGAATTACATAACAGGAGAAAATGTGAGATTCTTAGGTATTAGCGTGATATTATTTAGTTATATCTTACAGCATATTTTAAGACTCAAGCACATCTTAAATAACACAAGGTCCTTTATTTGTCCACGTTACATTATTTGTGAACATTACTTCCGCGCAAAGTGGGTCGAGTGTCTTGCCCAGAACACAACGACAGCAGGCAGACATCAGAATAGTCTGTGGAGAATGTCTCGCGGTGGGCTTCGAACCCACAACCTCAAAGGCCGATGCTCTACCAACTGAGCCAATGTCGCCCCGGATGTGAGGCTTGATAGAACCGAACATTATTAAACCCAAACCTGGTGAAGATAACACTTCAGCATCAGTAAACAGTCAGAGTCTCACCCCCACTGTACGATCAAAGGGAGCCATTTTGCCATGACAATAATCTGAAGACAAATCCCACACTTTGTCTCGTCAAGTCGTCTGCCCACACTCAGACATTCTGAAGAGTGCAATCGTCGACCACATAATCAGTGAAATCCTTTTATGTCACACCAGTTTCTGAAAGACGCTGATATTCACCCTCTAAAAACACACGCATAACTAACACTTATGCCAGAGTAACAAAAAACAAAACAGTATGAGGCAGTAAACAACTCTATACAGCCTCTAGATGCCATCAGGTCTTAATTGGCCGGTCTCACACTTTCTCCACAGATTTTTCACAGATTTTTTTTCAGGGTCGAAGGACAGCGACGGTCCGGGACATTAATGCTCATCCCATACAGTAAGTGCTGCTCCTTTGGCATAGAAAGTGTTGCAAAAAGACTGTAAATTATCAGAATTTATTTCAATGAATGCTTTTAAATCCAGATTGAGAGCACTTTAGACGTTCTCATTGTCATGTAACTGGTTTTATAATCTGTATTTGTCTTAACTGTGTGTAACTTTCGGAGAGGCATCTGGCTGTTTACAAAAGCGCCACCTACACGTCACCGTAGTATAGAACAAGAAAAAACGTCGAAAAGACAATATATATGGTAGGAGATACCATGGCAAGGCTTTATTATAGTAATATAGACCCGGACAGTGAGGAGCATCAGAACATTTTGGAGCCCTTCAAGTTTGTCTTCTCTCGGATTGAGGACATGGAACTCTTTTCTGTTGAATGTGTTGATAAAAGGGGTTATGTGTTGTATTGTGAATGCATAATAAATAGTTGAACGGCTTTATCATTGAGATAATTTATTCACCACAAAAGTGGAATGTTCAGTATTGCATCACAAGTTACAGAACGGTAGGAAAATCAAAATTGTGAGTAGACCTATAGGTCTAGCTAACTCTTATTCCTCTAGAAATTAATAGAAAATATAAATATTGGGTAGCTATGTAACTTTAATGCTGTTGCAAGAATAATATAGATGAATGGAATAAGCATCTAGAAGTTGCAGCTCTTTACCATAATAAAGCCTTGCCATGGTATCTCCTACCATATATATTGTCTTTTCGACGTTTTTTATGTTCTAAACTACGGTGACGTGTAGGTGGCGCTCTTGTAAACAAATGGCAACAGAATTGTCCTTTGGCATCCCAAATGCCCAGATGAAAACAACGATCGCTCACATACATAATACCTGGTCACAATTTGTGGAACAAATGTCACTATTTTTGTTTGTTACATAATATATACTAAATGTTAAATAACAGCTTTATAACTTTATGAAGAAAAACGTTTTCAAGTCCCAGGGAAGTGACGTAACAGTAGCTCATGGCGATGGTCACGTAACAGGGGCTCCTGAAGGAGGTCACGTGACAGGGGCTGAACAGGGAGGTCTGCGAGGGGGGGGGGGGGGAGTCTGCAGCCAGACTCTCTTGAACTTTTGTCCAGGACTCCCTTGAAAAAGAGGGTCTTAATCTCCATGGAACTTTCCTGGTTAAATAAAATAAAAATAAAAATCAATGGCTACTATCAGTTTGTAATAATTTATTCTCCGGTGTCAAAAACATTGTAAAGTCTGGCTGCAGTTGTGATTTAGACAACACAAATACATTTAATTAATTTGAAGGTGGGACACCGTTTTATCTATGATTCAAAAGTCCTTGTCTTAATGTTTTCCTTTGGTTTGTAACAGACTTGCCTCGAGTGTGAACTGTGCTACACGACTACACAGAACTCATTTGGACTGAGCTTTACAAAATAAGGAAGTAAAAAAAAATCCTGCCTGGTGCTTTACGCCTCTGCTCGGAGAAGCATACTCCACTAACTGTGCACGCGGCAGAGCAAGGAGACGCCACAGGAGCCGTCAGAGCCCGCTCCAAACAGCACGACAGCGCGAAAATGAAACCCACACCACAAACATCCCGACAGGAGGCAAGTGAGAGAGAGAGGGAGAGGGAGAGAGAGAGGGAAAGAGGGAGAAAGAAAGGGAGGGGGAGAGAGAGATGGGGAAATCAAGGGAAAGAGACGGAGTGAGGGAGAAAGAAAGGGAGGGAGAGAGGAAAAGAGGGAGAAAGAAAGGAAGGGGGAGAGGGAAAGAGAGAGAGGGGGGAGGGAGAAAGAAAGGGAGGGGGAGAGGGAAAGAGAAAGAAAGGAAGGGGGAGAGGGAAAGAGAGGGGGAGGAGAGAGGGAGAGGGCAAGAGGGAGAAAGAAAGGGAGGGAGAGGGAAAGAGGGGGAGGAGAGAGGGAGAGGGAAAGAGGGAGAAAGAAAGGGAGGGAGAGAGGGAAACAGGGAGATAGGGAAAAAGAAAGGGGAAGGGAAAGAGAGAGAGAGAGAGGGGGGGGGGGGGGGACTCCAATCTCTGAGCTGTCATGGACGTGTCAAGTTGAAATGTCTTTGTCGGCTTCTGTCTGAGTGTGAATGTAGTTAGCCCGATCAGACGGAGGAGACCGTGGCGTTGTCGAGCAGCGACGTGTACAACAGTTTGTCATGTGGGCCCCCGATCGATGCCTCTCTCCCCCAGAGACGTGGAGACATGGCAGAAGAAAACAAGTGTGAAATAAAAGTGACATGCAGCAAGAGGGAGGGAGGGAGGGAGAGAAAGAGGGAGGTGGCTGGGAGGCTCATTTCATATAGTTATCTGGCCTCTGTCCTTGTTCTACAACCTGAGTCCTGGATCTACAGCTCTCAGCCCAAAGAGTCTTAAAGCTCCCAAACTCAGAAACCAATGCTAGAATCTGCTCTGGTCCCAAACTTGAGGATAATGGACGATCATAACGAATTAACAGATCCTAAAGCAGGGGTCTCCAACCTGTGGCTCGGGAGCTACCAGTAGCTCGCCAGCCCCTTTCAGGTAGCTCCCCATAGGATTGAGAATTTAACAAAATACCTTACCCAAAACAGGACTCACCAGGACAAACCAGCACTTACTAGGACAAACCAGGACAAACTAGGACAAAACCGGACTAACCAGTACTCACCAGGATTAACCAGGACACACCAGGACAAAAAAGCACTTACTAGGACAAACCAGGACTAACCAGAACTTAATATGGACTTACCAGGACTCACTAGGACAAACCCGGACAAACCAGCACTTACTAGGACAAACCAGTACTAACCAGTATTAACCAGGACACACCAGGACAAACCAGCCCTTACGAGGACAAACCAGGACTAACTAGGACAAAACTGGACTTACCAATACTCACCAGGATTAACCAGGATTTACTAGGACAAACCAGAAATTAATATGGACTCACCAGGACTTAACTAGGATTTAACCAGGACTAACCAGCACAAACCAGGACACCGGCAGCCCGATTCTCAGCACATTAGCGTCAGAGGGCGCATGGAGCGGGGGAACGGGGGAATGAGGGAAGCTACGTTTATCACGACCTCAGGAGACGGACCCAGAGTGCCAATCAAACTAATGACCTCAGCAGCAGCCTGTGGGACGGGCACAGCCTGTTCCTCAAACATGTCCTCACGCCCACGAGACAATGGACACACACGCGCGCACACACACACACACACAATCAGACACAAACACAAACAGCCTAAAAGCTTTTGGGAGATTCAAAGTAGGGCATTTCTCCTCGTTACGCTAACCCGCTTTGATAGCAAGCCTGCCTCAAAACCAACAACACGGTGGCGTTGTTGTATGGATAACCCCCGGAGGACCATAACACACAATTCCATTCACATCAAGGTGTTTTTTTTAGAATGCTGCATTTGACAAGCAATTATTAGAGTCATCTCGTTTTCCTTGATTCTGGCAGCCATCCAGAAAAATCCAGGAGCAAGGGACAAGCTCCAAAATATCTGTTGAAATACTTGGTCGACATTGTGGGGCCACATCTGTTTAGCAGTTGCGAACTATTAATTTGTGCATAAATAAAACCCTGTGTGGTACTTTCTCCCTTCCCTTTAATATGACATCTGTGCCATTTCGAAGCAGCTCGACGTCAGACTGTGAACGTGCTTGTTTGACTGTGGGATTATTACCCTCGGAATTCTACCAGATGGAGAAGTCCCAGGACCAGAGCCGCCCCAGTAGTGCTGGTGCCGTGTTGTGAATCCATCCCTCTGCCCCTGATCACATCTCCTTTTAAAACCTCTTCCACTGCATCACTGTGGCCTTTCAGAGACTGAGGGCTCTCAAAGTGCTCAATCTCTAATTCTCTAATCTGTGTTGACGAATCAATTGCTTTGTAAAGTCTGCCGAGGACTACTGTTGAGATTCAGGACGATACAAAAACACATTTAATTGACAATTAAATGCAGTGCAAAAATCAAGGAAGGGCAGTATATTAGTATAGACATCGACCTATGTGTTATATACTGGTGTCGGGCCAATTTGAAAGATATGTTGAAAATATAGGTCTGCATTGTTTTTTTTCATAGGCGCAATCAAACTGAAAGCCACGATTGGACAATATCAATTCAAATCCTTACCATTGGTCAAACTATTCTCCTCCAGCCAATATCACTGGTCATGGTTTTGCCAAGAAAAGAGGCCGTTTGAAATATTTTACTTTCGGCAATGTTAGCACGGACTTGTATGGTCAAATAATGCCTTCTTTTAAACATGAAATACAAGTTTCGGACATCCCCTTTAATCTTGGTATTGGCCCATAATCATTAACAATCATGTGTCCATACACGTGATGCAGCTTCCATTGGTTTAAAAGAGTTTTTACACGTGTCTGCAGTCCATTTAACTCAATCATTCTATCCAAATAACACGTCGATGAACAAATGTGGATGTTATAATCTTTTGAGGAGGGAATTGAAAGTCGCACAGTTCCTTTCTGAAGAATCATGTGATCAATTCAGAGTTTGTTGTCCCACGTATTCTGGGTTTTCTCGTCTGCTCTCGCTCACCTCATTATCTTATTTTCTCTTTGTGGTTTTTAGCGACGTGCTTTTGCCAAGTGCAGACGCATTCCGCTCCTCAGACTTCTGCATTCTCCTGATCTCGGCTAATACGATCGCATTATGTCTATTATCAAAATGAACTGGACCCTGGCTTTGTTATTAGATGTGGAATTCTGGCATTTTGTTCCAATTTGTGTCTTCTGTCAGTGTCCGGCAATGCCACAATATCTCCTGTGCAGCACAATGGCCTGGTCTGGACTTCTATTGTGTGAGAACGAAGCACCAACAATGGAAGATGGCCAACGTGGAAAAAGCACACGGGGAACACAGTCGGGCTGCACGATATTGTAAATTAGTGTGACATTTGATATGGCTCTTTAGAATTTCAATAACGAGATTATTGCGATATTTTTGTCTTTCACCTAAAAATGTAATCTGCATTGAAGCGCAAGAAAAAAACAGATCTAACAAAAATTAAGCACGACATAATAACCTCAGATCTAAAGCTTTGTGTCGCTTTGAGTCAAGTCCTTTACAGTTTGTTGTCTGAAAGCAGGTTGGACTTGAAAAACAAATGAACACAAGGACGCAGGTTTACTCAGCTTCAACTTTTTGTGATTGCTAGTTGCAGCAGCAGCAAGTCGAACCTCTTTGGGTAAAATATACATTTTTGATAAAACAAGTTATATCCAATCCCTTCCAGAATAAAGACTGAATATTTTTAAACTAAAATTGTATTTTTACCGTATTTTTAATTTAAAATTTATTGTAATTTTCATCGTAATTTTAATGTTTTATTAAAATAATTACAATCCAAATGTGTTTAGAATATAACGAATTAGTTTCATCACAATATTTTAACATTTGGTATTTTATTACAACACTAACTTTTTAGAGAAAATTACTATCTTTAAATGTAGTTGTACTTGATTTAATTGAATGATTGAAGATTTTAAAAATAAATGCATTAGAAATAATTGTTTAAACTATACCGTAAACTTCATTAACCAAATCAATTAATTAAATTGATTTTGATATATCAAAGTGAAATACTTAAATACATAATTACAAATAGTAAACCGAAAGTTCACAACCATATTAATTCATTACACAATAGGTATTACCCAAAGATTTTGAGCTGCCTACTGAGAAATAAGTTAAATATTACCCCTCACTTGGGCGACACAAATTGGTTTAATTAGCCAAAAACTGTAGCATTTTTGAAACACAAATGTTCTCATTTTAGTAAATATACTATTTCTAAGCTCTTAAACAGAAAAACTTCCCTCACCAGTAGTATCTGAGTACGAATGATACTAGTATCATTATAGTAGTATTCCCTGTACGACTGAGGGCTTACACAAACTTATCCGAGTACAACCCATGCCTCCATTTACAGGCCAAACTTAAAATAACGAAAGTGATAGGAAGATAGATACACAGAGCAAGAGCAGATTAGTAACATGTTTTAGATTTGGGCCGAGATTGACTGAACACTCATAAGGAGCTACAGAAGCAAGACTGTCATTGATGCTTGTGCATTTGCCTTTGCTTTGACCGGCTGTGAAGTTTGAGATTGGAAATACACAACATTAAGTACCCTTTGGTTTTGCATACAAATGTTTATGATTTTAAAGCTATCTTGATTTGTTCAGTACTTTGATTTGCCTTGTGTATGAATTTTGACTTGAACAAGGCAAGTTTATACATATAAACTTGCCTTGCCTTGTAGGTAAAAAATAAAAAAAATAAAAACTAAAACAGATAAGATACAAAATAGTCCATAAACGCTTACGTCTCTGTCAGATTACATTTATATTCATTGATAATAAAGAGTAGGACGAATGAGCTGTATGCATTAGGACGTACATTTGAGAGACTGGGGACTGGGCTAACACACAACACCACTGCCGCCTGACGCCACACAGCAGACCACGTTGGCATCACATTGATTTCCTCATTCGGCCATAACATTCCAGCGAGTTCCGGGACAAACTACTACTTTAAGCCTTTTCACTTCCTGCACCTGCAAACATGACGTCAGGGAGAGCCACAATAGACTATCTGTTTTCCTAATGCCTTCTCTGGCCAACACGAGGCGGACCGCATGTGGCTCGTACAATGGAGCAGAGAGGTCGGATCTCGAGACGCGGCCAGACTGTTAAACAAGTGGCCTTTAGAAGCGAGCGGAGGGGGACTGGCTGTTCCCGCCGCACCTTCATGCTCCGGGTAATTATTATCAGCCGCTTGTGGAGCTGGGGCTTATGCTGCTACTTTCTCATCCGCGCAGACAAACATCCACAATGGCGCCTTTCTTTGGTTTGTTACTCAGAGAAATCAATAACGGTGTTTACTCAGGTTGTTATGTAAAAATCCATTCCATTTTCCCCAAAGTGCCAAATGAACGTTGTTGATCTATATAGAACTCGTATAAACATTTAGTCCAATACAGAGCATTTTTTTTCAAATCACTTCCATTCAATTTATGTCTGTATACACTTAAATCACAGCAGCAGGACTCTTGGAGGTCTTTACAAAGCTTCCTCAACATCAGATCAGAAAATTAAGAATACAAAAATAACAAACAGGCGCCATTGGTCCTTAGAGAGCAATAATGCGCAAAAATCACAATAAAAATCCAGTATCGTCGCTGTCCTTAGACTAGGGCTGGGCGATATGGCTGAAAACTATATCACAATTTAAGTAATTCGCATTGGTCAATAACGATATATATTGATTGTTTTTTATTTATTTTTTTAAACGTAAATAAATACATTTGTTGTGTCGGCTAACACACGCTAGCAGCCTTGTTTACAGTCACGGGGGAATGAGGCTGGAGCCAAATGTTCACAAGCAGTCTCCCCCACTTTAGTCCTGGTTTAATCCTGGTTTAGCTCCTGTTTTGGCTGTTTTCGAGTGTCTTGTGTCCCCGTGACGGCTCCAGAAAAGGTTAATCTCTTGCTTTTGCCAAATGCATCGAGTCTCTGTATGCACTGCCTCTCCCGCCGCACATGCTGTTCCTCGCACGGATGTGTTTTACCATTGACACGGCCTGAAACACGATCTTTAGATCCATGGCTATTATAATAGATCCATGGACGCTACGCATGGTGCGGTTGTCGTTTTGCTTTTCCCAGAAAGTTTTGCGGTTTGTAGTCAGCTGTGATAGGTCGGGAAGCCTTTGCCTACATCCCCCAGAATGCCGTGCGCTTCTGACTCGGCTTTACTTCCTGTGTTTTGTTCCTGTTATTTTCGAACGGACTGAAGTAAAACTATCGAACATTCTATCGACCCCGTTTCCTACTGATATCGAACACGTGTCTATCGCAATATATATCGTAATCGTTTTATCGCCCAGCCCTACCTTAGACCCTTCTGCATCGGCGAGGAACGACTCAGAAACCCAATGGGGGGAAAAAGTGAGAAACCCCGGATAGGCCACCATCGAGAGAATTTCCACGGACTGATAGCCTTACATAGATCCAGGACTCAGGCTGTAGAACGAGGACTGAGGCCGAGTTTTAAAACCGCAGTATCAGGACATTGTGTACGGAGCCTCCTCATAAGCACAGTTTGAAATGTTTGCAGCTTGACAAAAGGGCTATAACTGATGGCATGTCATATGTTCATAATACAAATTAAAGCTGGGGAACGTAACTTAAAAACCACAGAAGAAAACCATGTCATCAATCTATCTACCGTAAAGCCATCAAAGCATTTGTGTGAGTGGATTAGAACAGTGGCTCCTATTGTTGACAGTTAAAACTAGTTCCAAGACAACACGGCTTGGTTCCATCTCTAGTTTTCCCATGTCTGCCTTTTTTAGCCGCTCATATCTTTAGATCAGCTTTCTCATACAACAACAATAACACTACGTTAGGAAAAGCATGAAAAGGCATCCAATCATGGTATTCTATCTTTCACAAATAGAATGGGACAGTGGCTGGAGCATCGGCCTTTGAGCCTGAAGGTCGTGGGTTCCAGTCCACCACAAGCCCTTCTCCACCGATTATCTCCACTGATAATAATAATAATAATAATAATAATAATGCATCACTTTTATATAGCGCTTTTTTAGACACTCAAAGACGCTTTACATGTCATTATTCATTCACTCCACACACGGTCTGCTGTCGTCGTGTCCTTGGGCAAGACACTTAACCCACTTTGCCTATAAGGAGCGCAGAAGTAATGTTCGGCGCATGCTTTGATGCTTATGTGTATTCAGCACGGGTTCAAATTCCGGTTGGAACAGGGCCTTACTAAGTGGAGTTTGCATGTTCTCTCCGTGTCCGTGTAGGTTTCACTTACTTAGTTACTTGCAAAAATATCTGATTTCAGAACATTGTAAAGCACTTTGGGTGACCTTGGTCTGTAAAATGCGCTATATATATATATAAACATGACTTACTTCATCCAATTTTTCCCCACTGTGGGACAAATAAAAGACCTTCTTTGAGACACCCCATAATCATTAAGCTTGTGTGTGCGTGTGCGTGTGTGTGTTGCCATGACTTACTGCAGCAGCGGCGTGAGGACCACCGAGGACATGTACATGGGCCTCTTCTTGATCTGGCGCCTGAATCCGAACACGGCGTTCTGCTGGAAGCCCTCGCGGATGTTGAGGATGTACTGGTTCTGGAGCGTGATGAAGCGCACCTCCTTCAGGCCCCTGGAGCTCGCCTCCTCGATCAGCTTCACCACCGGCTGCGGGGACAGAGGAGGTCGCGGTGACATCGGGCATTTGTGCGTTCACCTCCACAGCGCATCATTTGCATCGGGAGTAAGTGAGTAATGTGGGGCCGTGACAATCCAATCCACTTAAAAAAATATAGCACATTTTATAAAATGCATTTCCAAAGTGATACGCAGATAAAAGTAACGCATTAAAATATACAAGTCTGGCAGTTTTTGATACAAAACAAATAAAATAAAGCAATTTTACTATATAATGTTTTACTTCATATTTAATGTTTTTTTTCACGTAAGTCAGGCAAACTTGCATATTTAAGTGTGTTGATTTTATCTGCAGCCATTTGGAAACTTGTTTTATAAAATGTGCTATATAGATAAAGTGGATTGGATTGGATATGAGTGTGTTCACAGTAAAGTGTCAACTAAAGTATCTGGACTTTAAAAAGGTTATGACTCAAAAACAAAAGTTAGTATCATAGATTGTGTTTGAAATCTTTTTTCCAGACACATCAAAGAGATAGTGTGAAAGGAAAGATTGACAAATATATATTTGGCGACATTTTAAACGACCAGAGCAGCCTCTGATTGGACCATTTTATACTGACTCAGTGACATAGAAAATAGAATGTCCTCAGTCTGAAAAAGCGGCAGATGAAATCCCACAAGATTAACAATAACACAACATCAGGAAAACACTTAAAAAGGAAACGTTAAAAAAAAAATCTGGTCTGGGGTAACTTTTAACTGGTTTAATATAAAAATATAACTTATAATAATTTTTTCTGTTTGTTTTATGTGATGATTTGTGCGTTGTGTGGTGTGACAGACTGAACCGCTTTGTGTTTCCTTGTGAAGAAAAAACGCTCTATAAAGTTGGCAGATTTGATGATGTTTCAATCTCGTTTCTACGCAGCACTTCGGGAACTGTCTGTCGCTTTATAAATATAAAAGTGGAAGTAGAAGTGCTTTCTAAGTTGAATAGATTGGATTGAATTTAGCAACATGTAACGCTGAAAAGAGCTTTTATGACTCAGGTGATTCTATAATGACTGCAGAAGGAAATGCAAATGTGTTTTCAAAGTATTTTTCATCCAACAATCCACTGCGTACCGGTTCCTCTCTACGATGGACCGAGCTTCGTTTTGTCGATGAATTTTGGGATTTTTTTCTGCATTTGACATTTCACAATCTGAACTAATCAAATAATCGAAAGAAGAATCTGCCAACTCATCGGTTATCAACATAATCGTTAACTACAGCCACAAAGTCATCTAAAATGCAGCTGAACTGGACAAGGAAGTGCCAGGATGCAAAAGTCCTAATGTTAAAATGGGGAAAAGAGAGGGCACTGATTTACGGTCGCCCCATCTGTCTTTCTGAGCGGACCGTTTGGCCAAGACAAAGGACTCGCCCCATTGGTCCGAGACGAGGTTTTGCACACACAAAAAGTGATTTGAATACTGGTGGCTCTCCTCTTGCATTTGTTTATCTTTCTATTATAAGTTACTCTCAATGTATTAAATTTATGTATTCAAAAGAGAACATGCAAATAGACAATCGCACAATGCAAATATACAAGAATTATCCCATTATACATTCGTGGTCAAAAACAACAAGTGAAAAGTGGTCTAAAGCTTTGGGAATCAGGTAATAATTGCAACTAAAACTGGTATCGAAACTAAATTCTTTTTTGAGCAAATATGACACAGAATCGGATTTCGGGTCAAAAAAATGTCCTGATATTTTTGATTGAATTTTTAACAGTTTCAAAAAAGAACATTGCCACAAAATTATTATTAGTACAAGTCAAAATTGTCAAGAAAGAGAATCATTGCTAAGGCATCAAAATTGGTTTTGAGTATTTTTCTAGTCTCAAAATTGAGTTTTTACCAACACTATTATCAATGTTTAGTTGGTAAATACTTTTTCTTTGAGCTGCAGTACTAACTTTGACACACCCGAGACAACGTTATGTAAATGTTTGGATTTCAAAGCCCAATAAGCCAAAATCCATGACCTACACCCATAAAGCATAAGTATATACAGTGCCTTGCAAAAGTATTCGGCCCCCTTGAACCTTTCAACATTTCGCCACATTTCAGGCTTCAAACATAAAGATATAAAATTTAAATTTTTTGTCATGAATCAACAAGTGGGACACAATCGTGAAATGTAATGAAATTTGTTGGATAATTTAAACTTTTTTAACAAATAAAAAACTGAAAAGTGGGGCGTGCAATATTATTCGGCCCCTTTACTTTCAGTGCAGCAAACTCAGTCCAGAAGTTCAGTGAGGATCTTTGAATGATCCAATGTTGTCCTAAATGACTGATGATGATAAATAGAATGCACCTGTGTGTAATCAAGTCTCCGTATAAATGCATCTGCTCTTTGATAGTCTCAGGGTTCTGTTTAAAGCGCAGAGAGAACCATGAAGACAAAGGAACACACCAGGCAGGTCCGAGATACAGTTGTGGAGAAGTTTAAAGCCGGATTTGGATACAAAAAGATTTCCCAAGCTTTAAACATCTCAAGGAGCACTGTGCAAGCAATTATAATTTGAAATACCAAGACCCGGCCGTTCCCTCGAAACTTTCATATCAAACAAGGAGAAGACTGGAAGGAGTGAATCAGACCACTGCAAATCTACCAAGACCCGGCGATATGTTTGGCGTAAAAGCAACACAGCTCATCACACCCTGCATCACCTCAGCTGTAGTTAATTGCAGTTCATCCAGAGTGATCATGGGCCTTCTTGGCTGCATCTGATCAGTCTTCTCCTTGTTTGAGATGAAAGTTTGGAGGGACGGCCGGGTCTTGGTAGATTTGCAGTGGTCTGATACTCCTTCCATTTCAATATAACTGCTTGCACAGTGCTCCTTGAGATGTTTAAAGCTTGGGAAATCTTTTTGTATCCAAATCCGGCTTTAAACTTCTCCACAACAGTATCTCGGACCTGCCTGGTGTGTTTCTTTGTCTTCATGGTTCTCTCTGCGCTTTAAACAGAACCCTGAGACTATCAAAGAGCAGGTGCATTTATACGGAGACTTGATTACACACAGGTGCATTCTATTTATCATCATCAGTCATTTAGGACAACATTGGATCATTCAAAGATCCTCACTGAACTTCTGGACTGAGTTTGCTGCACTGAAAGTAAAGGGGCCGAATAATATTGCACGCCCCACTTTTCAGTTTTTTATTTGTTAAAAAAGTTTAAATTATCCAACAAATTTCATTCCATTTCACGATTGTGTCCCACTTGTTGTTGATTCATGACAAAAAATTTAAATGTTATATCTTTATGTTTGAAGCCTGAAATGTGGCGAAATGTTGAAAGGTTCAAGGGGGCCAAAAACATTCGCAAGGCACTGTACAAACAATAAGAGATTGGCTCAACTTTAGCTGAGAGTTTCATGACTTCTCTCTCCTCTTTTTATGGAAATGACTAAAGCAAGAATAGATTTCAAAGAAGAGCCAACAGTAGAGCGAGGGTAAAGTGATTTGCCACTGGGGGGTGGGCGCAGCTGGGAGTGTCACAGTCTGTCTGGATTGATCGGCGAGTGTGGTTCTGTGGTGCCTTACCTCGGAGTATTCCCTCCAGCCGAAGTTGTCTCTGCAGTAGTACTTCCACGTGGTGTGACAGTTGGGGGAGGGGATGGGGCTGGTGGTGCCGGGGGGCGTGGTCAGGCGGCGTACACGGTCGAATTCCATGTCGCACACTCGCATTGCCCCGAAGTCCAGCGAGAAGACGCGGCCCCTGCGGGAGAGAGTGGGCGCGTGGTGAGACACGGAAGGACGACGTTTAAAAAAAATCAACTCTAATTATTCCCTGGACCAGACACGCCATGACCCCTCTGTTCATTCAAGGTTATTATCAGTTACTCATCAGCTCGTGTGGGGGGAGGCAAATGTCAGTTTCCTCCCTGTGGAACAGAATGACCAAGACAACAACTAGCACCACAACATGAGTAAGAAGATTCCCCCTTTTCACCTTTGAATTTATATTTGGAAATGACACACATGACTTTGGGAAGGAACATTTGAGACCATGACGTCATCAAAATCATACACAGGAGAAAATGGTTCAAAAGTCTATTTATTTCTTTTTTTTTTTCTGTAATTCAACTTACAATGTGAAATAACACAGAATCATTAGAAATATATATCAAGCTTTTATTTGTAATGATGTTGATAATAGGCTCACACCTGTAAAACCAAGCAAAACTAAAAATGTAAGCCATAATCATCAGAATTATAACAAAAGCTAGGCGTATGTCACTTTGTATTATCATGTATTGGTTTCACATTTCTCAAAGAAATTCACTTTTCAAAAAGTTTCACCTGTTTTTAGTATGAAACTTATAAGTCAAACACTTGCCAGTATTTCCACAGTGATACTTGCAACCTGCGGCACTTCAACGTCCTTGTAATGGCTCTTTTGGCCTTGACCAAAAAAAATGAAAGGCTGAAGGTAAAATGTCTCTTTTGATAATAACTATTGTTGGTATGGGGTGGGCGATGTCGGCAAAAATAAATATATCCATTTTTTTTCCCAAGTCCCGATAACCATATCTTTAAACCAAGATGTCTTTAAAATCAATCATTTTTACAAATAATGATCTTAAATGTTTTTCTTGCCAGGACATCTATGGATAGAGACAGTGTAGATCAAAATAGCAGCTTTTTATTTGTAAAGTGCTTCACACATCTTTGCAAAACATGCACAAACCTATTGTGCATTAAACATTAAAAATCAAATTCAAGTAACACAGGAAGAACACATCCAAAAAAGTTTGCTCAATATTTACTGAAATGTACAAATAAAGCAGTGATTGAAAATTCTTGACATCAAAAGTCAGTAGAAAAGCCTCACATTGTGTTCTCAAAAGTCCTTCCTGATCTATGTTCATGTAACTGTAATAAAAGCAGAGACATGATCTAAAGCAGTGCTGGTTTAACGTGTGCTAAAGTGTGCGTCTGTGGCAGTAGCACACAGACGCACATATCCTGCCTTAACCCCGCTCTGTCTGGCGGCTCTGCTCCCCTTGTGCACATCAGTGTGTGTGCACGGCTCCACTGCGCCATACGGCCTCTGGCAAATCCTTTCTGGGTCAGACGAGCTGTTTGCATGAATGTGGCCATGGCTCTGGCACGCTACCGGCATGCGGAGCAGACAGCAGCGCTCGGCTCTATGTGCTGGAGGATTAGCACACATAGTGAAAACACGCACCACTGCTAATGGCACCATTGATTTTGTTTTCCTTTTTTGGGGGGGACTAATTGGACCCAGAGTGACATGGGACAAACATGTCTGATCTGGAAAGTGAATGTAAGGCCTGTCACTTTAACAGCTACAGTTTATTAATTACCTATAGATGCAGGTAATGTGTTGTAAAATGGATAATGCATTGAAGATATGACATTTACTGTAGATTTCAGTGCTGATAATAAAAACCTACATAGATCCATGAATACTACTTTAACACATGTTTTGTTTTGCCACAAATGTGCTGGATATTGTGTTTGAAATAAATAAATCCAGATAGACGTTCTGGTCAATATCACCAAAGTGATTTATCATTCAATTGAAAAACTTAAACAACAATAAGCCATGACCCTTATTTTTGTGTGTATTTGTGTAATTTTACAGATTTTAGACAAAGACTTCCACAAACACAGCTCTGCAGAAACCCCATCAACATACATTTCATAAAGCTCTGACGTAAACTAATTAAAGAAAGATTTCACCAACAAAGCCAGTTTCAGTTTCTGAATTAAAGTCAGTAAATAAAATATCACAAGATGTAGAACTGATCACATTACACATTGACATTCATAATTCTACAGTTGTACAAACATCAACAAGGAATGTGGCTGTAAACGTCACAGCCAAGGCTCGCTGAGTGTTTCTATGGCGGTCCTTAGTAGAATTTTGTACTTCTACTTAATGGTTCTTGTGAAAGTGACAAGTCCTTTCTGCTACATGCACTCTTCATGTCAATGTTTTCAAGAGCAGCCCCAGTCTCGCAGTGTTCCTCGTGTTTCCTCCGTGCCGGTGCGAGGGGACGACCTGCTCGTCCGGACCAACACTCGCTGCAGACTTATGTGCAGACAGATTGGAGAAAGGGAAACTCATGCAATGCTGTATGTTCATGTGGAGCCGGTCACTTGGGAGGTGAGAAATACTGTCGACTCATCTTCTGGGACGGGCTAATTATGTATCTCTGAGCCTGCGTTTTGCAGAGTCATTATGCGAGGTCGTGACTGCAAGAGGAAGTGAAACATAATTTGACTGCATGAGAAGAAGCACAGTGGACCGGTTATCGGGTTACTGGGAAGTCAAAGGCAAATATTGTTTCATTAAGCATCCATCCATCCATCCATTTTCTACCCTTTAATCCATTTCTGGGTCAGGGGGGTGACAGTCAGAGATGCCACCCAAGTCTCATAGCACCAGCCCCTCACTGACCCTCTGCAGGTGGTGAGTCCACAGGAGGACGGCTGCTCTCTGAGTGTGAGCATAGCCTTGATCTTTCAGTGGGGGCTTTGGGCAAAGTGGGGTAAAGTGTCTTGCCCAAGGACACAACGTTTCATTAAGCAATAAAAACTAAGTCTTCAGGGCTCATGACGTGACTACGTTAGAGACATATTCTGCTTTTGTCTGCTATATAGTTACAAACTATTAAAACACTAAAAGCTTTATTCCATAACTACTACCTGGTTATTGTACCAACAGAAAGTCTTTGTAAAATGCAGTGAACAAACCCATCTTCATCTTATTAGAAAACATGCTATCCTGTGCAGACTTATGAGAAAGAACACTAATGGACCTCTTGTGTGAGCCGATCTTTTTCACTTTACTTTCTGAAAAACCTCATTTAAAGTGTGACAAGGGCCAAAAAACTACTGAGACCAAACTGTTTCCACGTGAGGAACGAGCATGCTGTATTACATAGCTCCTTTTTGCGCAGTTTGAAAGTTAGGCCTCCCAGCTTTAATAAAAACTAAACTTATTGAAACTAGAACGCAAGGACGAGATTGTTTATGTAACAAAAAAGTGCAGACAGAGCCACAGTGACAAGCAGCATGATGTTCATATGAGAGAAAATGCCCAAGTGTATCACATATTAGCAAATAACAGTAAAGTTTCTACTTATTGTAAGTGAAGCGGGAGAACACCAAACCTTAATAAAGATGACTTACTTAAAACGCACTAAAAGCAAGTGGTGAAATAATAATGCAAACCAATTATAATCTCTTGAAAGTCCATATTAGCTTCAGCTTGATTTGAACGCGTGTTTGTTTGATTACACCACACATCACGCCAGCGCACTAGAAACGACAAAAGACACGAAAAGCCAAATGCAAAGAGGAGTCGACTCTGACAAAAATCTCATTAAACAATTTCGCCTCTGCTCTCTGCACTCCCTGTAACGCATTGGGAGCCACTTTGTTCTGTCACGCCGCTGTTCTGTTGGCGGGGTGACAGTGCGTGCCCGTTGGTGTTTGTATTTCTGTGAGAAAGAGAGAGCTCAGAGAGGATTCACCTGTGCTCTGCTGCCTGGCATGTGGGGGAGTACAAACAGTGCGTGCCCGCCACGCTGGGCCGCGGTGACTCCAGCAAGCGCCGCCGCTAATGTGCGCGCTTACCGGTCATCACAGTCAGCCCACGTTTCACTCACGCGGTCAGGTCAGTCCGGCCTTTCTCTGGCTCAGGGAGACATGGGGTGTTGTGACCCAGGGATTGGAGATTTGTAGTCGACTGGGACCGAAAGAAATGTGCGTTTTTGTTTCGTGACTGGGGCGATGACGGCAATTAAGGTAAACAAGAATATTCAAATCACCGTCTGAGGTCTTCACAGCACATCTGTAACTATACTGAGAGTACGTGTATGTGTAATAAGCAATTCTAAGTACACAAAAAATAATAAACTACAACAACTACTACAAAAAGAGATTGTCAATGGTATTTTTGGTCATGAAAATTCCTCCTGTGGAAACTACACACTGCCCCATCCACATGTTTTTAGTAATCTGGGAAGTTCATAGTACTGGTTCTGAAAACTGGCCATGAAAACAATTGAATCCTTAAAGACATAGTGTTCCAGGGAATTTATGAATCTTGATTGTCATTCAAGAGACCAAAAATGTATGGGTCAGGAATAGGAACCAATAAACTTCCGAGAACTGGCCTTAAATAATTACGTAAAGGCTTCGAGGCCAAGATGTTCAGGAAGATAAATGGATTGAAATAGCCATTTGTTGGAGATAGATGAGCGATTAATTCTCAGAACAAATTTGTTTTGAGTTCAAATTACGCGATTATGTGTTCAGAACAGGCCTTGGAACATCACCAGATCACAAACATTCCTTTTAAGTCCCATCCCATCATCCCTCCCAGACTAGTTTGCGGGTCTTGAAAAAATAAAAAATTCCAGCGGTTAAATTAAGTGCAATGAGAATGTGCTCTGATTGTGTTGGCCAATCCAGTGACGGAGGCAGAGAGAGAGAGACGCGGCAAGCCCACACTGGCACCGCGCTCAAGACCTGGCTTGAAATGTCATGCCGTACTGAGCAACTGTGGCCTCCAGATAGGAAAGGTCACCAGATAATTCAAAGAAAGGCGTGCATACTTTTGCTCAACAGGAAAGGCATGAGTGGGGACAGACTTGTTGATGTACTGCAGAGAGTTTGAAGAGTTTTTTTCTCCCATTGCATGCGCCGGGGGGGAGAAAAACAAGTCAGGTGAAGCCGAGA